ATAAGGACGGGCAAGGCAAGAGCAGTCTTCAACCAACTAAAAAATGTTTGGGGTTCTGGAGATTTAACCCTTGGAATAAAAATCCGGATCTTCAACACACTAGTAAAACCTGTTTTACTCTATGGAGCCGAGACATGGAGAATAACTGCTATAAATTAGAAGAAAATACAATCATGTTTAAACGCATGCCTCAGAAAGATCCTGCGAATTCGCTGGCCTAAAACCATCAGAAATGATGTTCTATGGCAACGGACAAATCAACTTCCAGTTGAAGTAGATATCCTCCAGAGAAAAATGGAAATGGATTGGCCACACACTCATGAGGCCTGTATCCAGCATAACAAGACAGGCCCTCACCTGGAATCCACAAGGCAGGAGGAGGAGAGGCAGACCAAGAAAGACCTGGAGACGTGACCTGGAAGAAGACACCAAGAAGATTGGATACACCTGGGGACAGTTGGAGAGACTAGCAGACTAGCCCTGGACAGAGGGTAAACGGAAAAAAAGTCACAGGAAAAAAAAACACAGAAAAAAAGTCACACAAATCTTTTTAGAAATCTTTTGATTTATTTGTTAAGAATTGTAAAATTTTGTATGTTATTTTTGTGGGTTGTATTTTTTGATAGCATAAATTATTTATAGACGTTAAAAGTATTATGGTTTATAAAAATTGTAAGTAAAAATACTCTAAGATAATTTACACAACAATCTTAACTTTTGTTACGTATTTAGTTACATACGCGGTAGAAAAGTTAACTATAAAAGAAATTTAGGCACATCATTGTGTTTAGCATAGATTTTGCCGTAGGCTATTCTATGGTCGGCCTCTCCTCAGTCGGCATTGTCCGAACACATTTGGTGTTGTTGACGTTTTGTGTCAATGACAGCCTTTGAACCTTGTCGGCTCTCTGTTTTGATCCTAAATTTTCTTATGTAATGAGCGTGATAAATGTGGGCAGTAAAGGTGGTTGAACTAAGCATAACTATTGTTGCGATGAGTTGAGGGCAGTAATTCAGATGACCTTACCATTTCACGGTAATTTTATTTAAAAAAAAAACACGATGAAAACCGTGGACATTCTATTAAATGCTATAAATATTATGTTTAACATAATTACAATCTACATAATTCATACTAAATATTTTTAGATAAATTAAAAAATTACTATACGTATACAACCTACACACATTACATTACATTTAATTAATCTTAAGTTAATTTGCACTCTCTGAATATTTAATACATACAAGTATTAACAAATCCCATGCAAATATATATTTGTGACTTTTTTCCTGTGACTTTTTTTCCTGTGACTTTTTTTCCTGTGACTTTTTTTCTGTGTTTTTTTTTACTTTCTCGTATATACGTAGTATAGAGAAAGTATTGTAATCGTGCAAAAAAAAAAAAAAAAATCGAGATTTTTACAAATCTCGACGTTTTACACCTCACTGATACGGAAAAACATAATTTTGCAATCTTGTCCGTGTGTCTGTGTGTCTGTGTGTGTGTCCGTGTGTAAACACGATAACTTGAGTACCGTTACAGCTAGGTTGATGAAATTTCATATATAAGTATTATATCAAAATCGTAGATCCGTATCAACTTTTGAGCGATTTCCGACAACCGGAAGTGGTACTTTTTCTACTTTGAATTTTTCAAAAGCCTATAACTTGAGTACTATTTCAGATAGATAAATGAAATTTCACATGTAAGTAAAAGATCTAATTCTCTACCTTCTGTTAAATTTTGAGTAATTTCCGTTGACCGGAAGTAGTAATTTACGCTACTTCCGATTTCTCAAAAAACTAATGTAAATTTTAAAAGTACTAATAATATTGCGCACTATTATGCGCTTTTTTATTTCGCGTTCACTTGGTGTGCAATTAATTTGTCTACGAGATTTTATTCTATTTTTAAAACTTTAAGTATTTAAAATGGATTAAAAATCATGTCTATAGCCCGAGTTCCCATCCCCTGTTATTTTATATAAAAATATTCGAGAAAGTTTAGGGGAGATCACTCCCGGTTTATTTCCTGTGTTTTTAGCGCAATTTCCATTCTGGAGAATTGCGTTTATTAACTCGTCATTTCTGGGAATGTATGGATGGATGAATGTATGGATGTATGAATGTGTGTCCGGGCTTTAAGTCGTATCTCCTCCTCAACGAAGCAATATCGATGACTAGTTACAAAAGCAATTATGTTAAGCAAGTTACGAGGATGAACATAGGCCATAAAATATTCGGGTTTCTTTCATGTATTTCCCGAAAAAGCCAAAAAACCTCGAAAAAATTCAGTTTTTGGCCCATATCTCGGCAACCAGACCACTTAGCGACTTGAAACATGTACCAATCGATTCCTGCCATAATTTAGAACAATATTGCCGAAGAAAGTTTTCAAAAATATCCTTTCGTTCGGTCACAAATTTTTTTTGAATTAATTAAAATTTGGACCGAATTAGTAGGCATGTTTTTCCAACCACACCACACGCGTCATCACGTTCAATAGCTGCGCCATCACGCAGAGGCGTAGCGACCCTTCCCGGCGCCCGGGGCGAACTTTCAATTTGGCGCCCCCCCCCCGCTTATATATATATATATATATATATATATATATATATATATATATATATATGTGTGTGTGTGTGTGTGTGTGTATAATTATGTGTGTGTGATAGTGTGTTTATATATAAGCTTGTGTGTGGGTAAGAGTGTATTTGTGTGTGTAAGCGTGTGTGTAAGCGTGTATGCTACAGTCCGGACAAGGTTTAATAATTACATTGTATGATTTTCATTCCTTAAAACTTTACGACAATTTAATTCCCATTAAGATGCGTTTAACTTTTTTTGCGAAAGATTAGTAATGTCAGTAAAAAAAAATAAGCCTGATCTGTGTTAGAGGGTAGTTTGTAGCTAACGCTAATATGTTTAGACCAGCCTTTTATGTTCTAGTTTTGAACGATCTCTGTTGTGATATGGTACATATTGGATTCGAAGTTTGTTAGAGTAAGGACACACAAGTGACATACAAGAAGAAGTTATCAGAAATATTTATTGTTCACATTGGAATACGACATGGGTATTTCGTTGATTGGTTGATGGTATGACAAAACAAGCTAGAGAAAACAAACTGGAATCCAACGGATGTTAACAGCTCGTAGTCTTGGATTTCGCAGATTTGCCCTGCCTTCTCGCACACAGTTTCTTCCAGGCATCTTTTCGGGGGGGGGGGGGGGGGGGGGGGGGGGCGAAGCCCCCCGGAAAAATTTTTACGCCCCCCCCCCGAACGAAATGAAATTTATATAATTTATATATAGAAAATATATACTTTTAACAGTGTCCGCCCCCCCCCCCCCGAAGAAAGTTTACCGCCTCCCCCCGAAGATTTCAAGTGCCCCCCCGGAGAAAAAAGTCTGGAAGAAACACTGATCAAAAGTATCTGATCTCTCACGTTGAAGTTGAGAGAATCGTAAGAATCTTACAAAGAACTAGTCGCGTCTTTTTTTTTAACAAAACTGGCTATTGAAATTTTACATTACGCGTTAATACACTTGGTTTCTTTACTAAGTGTTAAGAGAGTTATCTACTCACCAATCCAGTACAAATACTTGCGATTTTTGTTAGCGAAAAAAGCGCCCCCCCCCCACCCCCACACACACTCATCACAACCATCTTGGACAAAGTTTGTAGAGCGGTTTTTAACGTAACTAACTTTTTTTTTAAAAATGTTACACAATTATACAATGCACAGTACAATTCGTTTCTTTCTGAGAGCTAAAGGTTGTTTACTCAGAATCCTGTGTAATTTTGCTATTTTATTTAGCCTAAAAGCGCCCCCCTGCACCATCTTGATAAAAGTCACTAACGTATTTTACAGTTCAACAATCGTACAATACGTTTTAATACAATTGGTTTCTTTTAATAGTGGTAACGTTTATCGACTCAACAATCTAGTGTAAATTCTTCCGTTTTAAGTCTCGAAAAAGCGCCCCCCCCCCATCTAGGAAAAGCTTCAAAGCGGTTTTGCCGGTCACTGTTTCTTAAGAGTATATGTTTTACATTAAGAAATCAAGATAGAAAACAGTTAAATCAGTATGTAAATGCGTGTAGCCATTATATTTCTTAACTTAGACAGTTTATAATTCAAAACTGCAGCATAAAATCAGCTTTAAAAAATTTTTCCCACCCCTTTTGGCACCCCCATAGGGTCGGCGCCCGGGGCGGCCGCCCCCCCCCCCCCCCGCCCCCCCCTAGCTACGCCTCTGCCATCACGTTCAGTGGCTGCGACATCACGTTCGGTAGCTAGGCGCGCAATGGTTTTTAGTCATGTTACTCTATTGTAAATAAAACATGTAAAATACTGAATTTTTTTTAATAAAAAACGTTTTAATAACTAACCAATGGTTTTACTAACCCTGCTCTTGATTTACGCTACGACAGAGCTATTTTTAGATAACATAAGGAAATTGCGTTAAAATTGTCATTAGACTTTTTTTAATTACTTGTTTTCCTACAATCGGACAGAGACGTCTGGAAAGCTCTTGTCAGCGGCCTATGTCCCAGTAGGGACGACAGGCAAACATGACATGACAAAGTGTTAACCGAGCTGATAAGTAGATTATTTTGAAGGGAATCGATGTGGGTTGTAGGGTAAGGTATAACATCATTTTAGGAGTGAAGGGGTGGTGGTCTGGGTTTTTGTGACGATGTGTGACTGCGGAAAGTGAAAACTACTCGCTCCACTTCTTCCCTGAGTACACCTACATTATTAATTTATTTGACTACAGTTTGTTTAGAATCTAGATTATAGGCCTATATGACTATGAATTAATTACACTTGGCATAATAAATATAGGCTCTACTTGTGAACCAAAGTAAGCATTTGAACCTTTTCGGCGATCGGCGTCACTTACACTTACTTTACTTTTAAAATTTTATACTGTTTGAACTGTTAAATCTTTGTTTTGATAAGGCAAAGTACAAACATTTTTTGGGACCATATTTATTTACTAAGTACTTGTTCTACTAGATTACTAGATCTATAAGAATCTGGAACTTTATTATATTATTAATATTTAGGTAAATCGAATTTAGGAATAGCTTGACTTGTAGTAGTACTACTAGATCTAGATCTATATCTAGTCTAGATCTAGATCTAGAATAGTAGATCTAGATCTAGATCTAGAATCTAGATCCTACTCCTAGTAACTAGTAATATGTATTATGTAGTAGCTACCATCGCATTTGCAGAAAAGCTTGCATGCTTTTTAAAATTTTTCATTTTGTTTAGTTAGAGTTTAGGCCTAGCTTAGCTAGATTTAGAATTTAGACAGAGATCTTGAATAAAATCGGTTAAAAATCCATATTCGAGAATCTCACAGAATAATCATCAATAATCTCATTCTCAATCTACTACACACCCTACAGCCCTACACGCTGTCGCATCTTCTGCTAGATTGCTAGTACTAGGCCTGACCAGGCTGGTAGGGTTGCCAGATACCTTTTCCGAAAATACTGAACACCTTTCCATCCTTCCCTTCTCAGGTATGCCGCAAAGCAGAAGAAGGGGGGTAACAGAGTATTATTCATATACTTGTCCAGTATTTATATTTATTTTATCCTGGACAGTCTGCTCAAATACTGGACTGTCCAGTTCAAAACTGAACACCTGGCAACCCTACAGGCTGGTTAGGGGTCATCTGTTTATGACGTCCACAATTTTTTTTTGGATTTTGGACCCCCCCCCCCCGTCCACGGAAATCCACTTTTTTCCTTATACAAGTCCATATGCGTCCACAAAAGTCAGTTTTTTTTCGGGACCCCCCCCCCCCCCCCCCCCCGCGTGAGTACGTCATAAATGGATGACCCCTTTGGTAATACCTTGTATTTAAAATTTAATATGTGACAGTACTACTTAGCCTATCCTGTCACTACTAACTACTTAAATAATAACTTACTAATAGTAATAGTAATAGAGTTAATTAATAGAGAAATAGACTAGAGTACACTTCACTAAAAAAGGCCTCAGGCCTAATGAAATAAAAAATCCCCCTTTTTGCCTCTCAGAGCCTCATACTGCCTACCCTACCTACAGATACTATAGAATATAGATCTAGGCTTAAACCTAATATTTTTCATTATGAAAATAGAAAATAAAATATTGCACTTATAGAAATCTACCTCCTTTTCAAGTCACGATGAATCCTATACTATTATTCCAATTTATTGTTTTTGTAAGTTATGATTTGTAATAGTATAAACATTTTGCATGAGTAGATAGCTAATTGGGAATAGCCTGCCTTGGCCATTATTAAAATTGATGATTATTTCAAAATTATTAGTTTTATCCCCTACTACTTGTTCTCAGTAATTTGCTTCTAGCATGAAGTTATGAACCGAATGGCCTACCCCATGACTGTCCATGAGTTATCAAATGTGATATTATTAATACATTTAAATGACTAGCTGTCATTTTAGTTATGGAAATGACTTGAGTTTTATGACTGACTAAAATTTGAAAAAAGTTATGATGACCATGGACCATGACAATTGACCTACAAAAATATTAGGTTAATAATAATATTTAAATTTAGCCTAATAAAATAAAAATTTTAAATTATTATTTTTAAATATTTGTGTTTTCAAGTTCACGTTTTTCTTTTTTGTTGTTTTTAGCTCTTTGTCAGACCATTAAATTTAAAGAATAATTTGTAAGCCTTAGGGCCTAAATGTTTAATTTAATAATTATTTAGACAATACAGGGTGGTGTTCAAGAGGCAAAAAACAAAAAAAGTAGCAAAATGTAAAGAAGTAAATTTTTTTATGCACAGCTTTAGATTTTACCAGGTGGATACCATGTAAAATTGCAAAATAAATAAAAATAATCTTTGCCATTTTTTTCTCTTTGTGTCTCACCTGAAGGTGTTACTATGCAGCTTATTTAATTGGTACACTCAAGTGAATCAAATGTACACATGTGTGCTGCTCACAAAGAACAATAACATTTTCATTTGTCAAAGAATGACTAATTTATTATTTTTTGTGTTTTTAAATATTTGATTTACCTATTCAGAAATATAAAAAGCATAAAAAAACCCAAAAGCTATTAAATGTTTAATTTAAATTTTTTATTATTTTAATTTGTAAACCGAAAACAGATATGTGTTTGTTAACAAATCTTTATGCACAATTATAATTTAATAATAGATAATGTATTGTAGTTAAGTACCAACTTCAGTAGTATTACATGTTTTTTAGATTCACAATGGTGAGGGCATGGTACATGGACAGCTCTGATACAGACCAAAGGGAACCCCACATGCTTGATCCTCCTGTCTTTCTTAAGTTGGATGAGCTGTACAAAAAAACCGGAGTTGAATATTTTACGGTTAGTCTCTGTACATTTTCTCAGTAATTTTATATGTTGGTAAGAACATTAACTATGCAGTATAACTGTTTGTCCTAAATTTATCACACCTGTGATAGTTAACAGCTAGAGTTTACTTCATGTAAAAGTGTAACATATCAAGTTCTTGTCAATGGTCATTTTTTCCAATTCCATCTTTTGGGGGCTTCACTTTAACAATATTAGCAGATGTTCACTAATGCACATAAGAGCTATTCCCCATTCATTGGGCAGCTAATCAATGTCGTAAACAAAATTAAAGTAATTTTGATTTGCCTTTATTACTCTTCCAATTATTTTTTCACAGAATATCACATTTTAAGTCTATTCTCGACCTTTTAAAAACACATAGACCCCTATCATATTCGTTAGTAGGCTGCCATAAAAGTTGTAACTACTGAATGTTGTAGTGACTGATACTTTTCTTCACAAAGATGAATCTAATGGCCATTCATAGCACACTTAGTATGAACTTAAATGATTTATATAATAGACTGTTCCATTGATAGTATTAAATGTAAATTGTTGACTTGGATGTTGTAACTTTGTTTTGTTTTAGTTTAATGCGGACTCGTGGGAAACAGATGAAGGTTATGCCAACCTGAAAAAAAATCGTGGATACTCCTATGAAGATGTCTGTGAGATCTCTAAGGAGACCTTGCCTGACTATGATAACAGGGTGAGTAACAAGGCCCTGACAGAAATATTTAAGTAGAAAGTTTCTTTAGTTCTGTGCACACTAAACATCTGTTGTACATTTGGAAGACATCTGTCAACAACTGTCAGAATGGTAATTACCTAGCTAATTTAGAAATTTGGATGACTATTGACAATGCAGAACAGATCAGCAGTTTTGAACAGCATGGATCCTAACCAGCTATATAGCAAGCTTTAAAAAAACAACTCTTCTTTGTATGAAAGCCCTTCATATACTCAAAATTAAAAAAATCTTTAGGACAGTGACTTGGGATGAACTGTGTCATTGCCTTTTTTATTTATAAATATAGCTTTTTCTTTCTTTTTTTTTTACAAAAAGCATTGTTAGTTTAAGCATTTTTGGGTAGTTGTAAAGTAAATGGCTCTAATGTTTTCAATTCTAAGCTCCCTAATTTACACAGAATTTTTACATGTTGTTTTTAATAGCACTCAAGTAGTGTAGCCAAATGTATTTATCATGCGTGGTTAGAACTGCCCTCACCCTACTAAACTTGTGCTTGTTATAATTCTCTCCTGTCCAGCATATCCTTGCCGTCAATGCTCAACAATTCTCTATTGAAAATGTAGAGCCTGTCTTCAGGTGAAATTGATTCTGATCCTGTACCCCACCCCCCCATACATTTATTTATAACCAGAGTTTCTTCCAGGCAGCGCCCCCCCCCCCCCCCCCCCCCCCACCCGCCTTGAAGAAAGTCTACCGACCCCCCAAACAAAATGGAATTTATATAGAAAATAAATACTTTTAAGTGTCGTGTCCCCCACCCCCGCAGATAATTTTAAGTGTCGTCCATCCGTGTGTCCCCCCCCCCCCCCCCCCCCGCAGAGAAAAAAGTCTGGAAGAAACACTGTTTATAATGCTAAGAAATATTCATGACAGGAGGTTTTTATAGGAGAAACTTATTTTTAATTAGACACTGTGACACAGTCGGTTTGGTAAAACTACAGACTGTTAATTAAAAAATACTCACTTATTCGTTTTTAGTGACTTTTTCAATGTTATTTAGGAATAATATAATTGTTATATTTTAGCTTTTAGCTTTCTTTACCGAGCACATCCATTCTGATGAGGAGATAAGATTTGTGGTTAAAGGCAGTGGCTATTTTGATGTGCGCGACATTGATGACAAATGGATTAGAGTGGAGGTTGTGAAAGATGACCTTATTATAGTTCCTGCCGGGATATATCACAGATTCACTTTGGATACATCGGTCAGTTATTTTAAATTTTATTTCTATGACATTAACTTTGTTTTTAACAATATTATTATTATTAGCATGTTTTTGAAAAATGTCTTGTATATTATCATTACAGAATTACATAAAGGTGAAAAGAATTTTTGTGGGTGAGCCAGTATGGACCCCACTTAATCGACCAGGAGCTGAAGGACATCTTGCAAGAAAACAATACCTCCAAACAATGGCTGCTTTAAACTCATGAAGCGTTTTGGTCTGTCATACATACTTTTGGCCAACATCTGCCGTAAAGTGTTGTTTTCAATACATTTATTAATGAAATAATATTTTTGGGCTAACTACCAGATTTTGTTCTATGCAATTTGAGTGTGAAAGTAATATGCAAATATCTGCCTACCTTGTCATACATGGCAATTTTAATTAGTTATACTAGGGTCAGTTTTGTAAAGTTTAGCTTACGAGTAATATGCAAAAATGGTCACATAAAACTCCTTTTTTCTAAATTACATTTGAAGCTAAGTTGTTTAATTTATCATTTCAGATGTTTAGACAAAAAAGAAAATTAATTGGTTTAAAATGTGCTTGCACATTCTAAAGGGCCTGTTTATACATTTAAAGGAAAATGCATGTACTTTTTTCTCTATAGGGATATTTTTAACCTTAGATTGGGTTGTTTTTTGTGCGCTATATATACCTATATTTCCAATCATTGAAGAAGGGAATATTGTCTCACAGGTGTGGAAGAAATGGATTTACACTATGAACTGATTTCTGCTTTGATATTATTAGTGCAAAATGTATTTTTAAAATTTTTACAAATTATTGTGAAATTATTGAATGATTTTTAAAATATTTTTTTTTCTGGAAGTTCACAATTCCAAATTGTACTTGTCATTACATTCTGAGGTTGTTAAAAATCTTGTTTGATTACTATGGGTATACTTTGCACAGTGGCCTTGATATTGTTTTTGTCAACTTTGTGAATTAGTAAATATGTTAATAATACAAATATAATTTGTATAGCATTTTTTGCATACCATTTGTACATTTTTTAAAGGCAATATGTAAAACTATACTATTTAAAAAAACCTCTTATGGTCAAGATAGTAATTACTAACTTAAGTCATTATGCAATAATTGAACAATACTTCACTTGCTGATGGATCTTAGTTTGAAAGGGTACTTAACTTTTTAAGTTAAAAACTGAATTTGTTGTAAATTGGGTTTCCCTCATAAAATAAATTTTAATTCCATTTTGTGGCATTTTTGGTGCTCTACAGTTGAACTGCATTTTGTTGTAATCTTATTTTCAGTATTAATACTAATTATGTGTGTAATTAAAAAGACAAGCAAGCTCTTTATGGTTACATCCTGTTTCTTGCCGTACATAGATACGTTTGCTAGATGATCTGTATAAGAAATCTGCCTTATTTATTCCAGAGAAGGCTTACTGTTCTATATATAATATATGCTTTAAAGTTTTTTTAAGAACATTTTCTTTAAAAAAAAACTTATGGCAACAGTTGTTTCATTACAGATTTCTTGTTGTAAAGTTTTCATAATATAGTGTTCTATAACTGGTGACTGATGAAACACAGTATTTTGTGGCTATCACTTTTTAAGTATAAAATTTAATCTCAAATGTTCTAATGTTACAATCACTGTACAAGCAGAACTTTTAACTTCATTCTTAATCAGACACAAAGCTTTTATTTTTTATAATCAAAGCAAACTCAGCCTAAGAATATTGTTCATTTTGAATGTAATAATTTGTTTTATTTTATTCCTCAGATATGGTTGTGGGAAACATTGTAACTTTTATGTTAAAAAAATTAACAATGGCTCAATAGTTCTGAATTTGTTAACTATTAGGGTGTGAGAAAAGTTTTCTTCTAATCATGTACTTGAAATGGCATTTTACCTTTTTGTTCTGTGGGCATTATATTTTTTCCTAATAGTATGCTATATTTATATTAACCAGATACTCAGTATTACTTATACAAATTTTGTTATAAAATTCATTGTTTGTCCAGTATAATTTCATTTAATCTAAGGTGTAATTTAAAAAAAATAAAAATATAGGTAGAATTTGGTATTTGTGTCTATTATTTTAAAAGTTTTATTTGAGGTTAAAGATTGCATTCAAGAAACTGTATTAAGATCTATTTTAGTGAAGTATTTCTGTACTAAAAATAAAAAAAATCAAACCAACACAAATGATCTTGAAAAATATTTAGTGCATTTTAAAATGGAACAACAATGCCTTATGATGCAACATAGCAAGTTATTTCCTTGTTACATTTTTATACAACATTCATCACCTTCAGAATGATCAATTTCTGTTAAATAAGAGAATCCAACCTTTTCATAAAACATTAAAGCTGTAAATTATAAAGTTGAAAATAAAACTATTCTTATACCAATTTATATGAAAATTACTAACAGAGGTAACAACCCCCCTTGTTCTAACCCAATTTAATATTTGATTATATACATTAAAAAATATTATGCATGGTGTCATTGATACACTATTTTTTGTTAAAATTGAATGCAAATACCCCCTAACACCAGTTAGTCATGTAAAAGTTAGTTAATTGTATAGTTGTTGAAAACCAGCAGACACCAGAAAGGTTAAAACATTACATAAAAATGGCAGTAGAATCAATTTAATTTGGGCCTTCTTCCAAATTTTATATCCAGACAATTCATTTGAAAAACTTCATTTAAATCACAGTTTTGCAGACCATTATCACAAGATCTAATCAGAGAAAAAAAATATGTTGAAAACTATATCTTAGGTACTTAAAATGAAAGAATAAAGCTAGATTCATTAAAATCTTGATGACAATTTTTTAAAAGTTATCAGGTTCAAGCATAATAGTGTTTTAACAATTAAGCTGAAAATAATGTGAAAGTTCTGTTGAATCCTAATTAGTCAAGTAATAACAGTATCACTTGGTACTTTGAAAAGAACTTAACTAACAGATCAATAACCAAGGCAAATATAGTTGATCATTAAATATAATTATCAATACATTTAGTCACTTTAGTATCCCAAGGAAAAGTTCAACCCAAGAATCTTTTTTTTCACCATACATATGAAATAATATAGCACATTAGTATAAAGCTTAATTAAATCAAATTTCTAAACATGGAAAATAAAAAAAATAAAATTGAATGTATAAAAATAAAAATACCGTAATAGTCTCTTAATATTTGTACACAAACTCCAATCAGTCAACTTTCATCATGACCTCAAATTTTAAACATACAGCACACATTTTAAGGCTCATATGCTCCAAAACATCAAATGAATGTGTACAATATAGATCTATACGCAATCCATAAATCACAACAGTTTAGCTCCTTCAGCATACCTTAACACATTTAAATATGAATTGCAGATAATGGATATTTCACAAACTGCATGAAAAGATGAAACACCTTAATTGCGAGTCACATACATAGTAAATTGAATTTTAATTCAATTCAATAAAAAAACCCAGATATTTTACAGATTTAGAAATGAAAGTAAAGCTAGTAACAGTTTAATTAATTCAAGAATAGAATATTCTTACTACATTTGGATATCATTTATATCACACTGGAGGATAGTTGCAAAATATTTTCTTATAGTTAAAAAAGAAACAACACCACATCATCAACAACATTGTCATTAAACTTAGTAGAGCTACTATTTTGTTCATGAAAATTTAACTACGAAGGGAGCAGGTTGGGTAAGGTTTGGGGTGGGGAGAAAAAACAACTGATAAAATTATAAACGCTATGTTTTAATCTACTTCAATGGACATTGAATTATAGTCAATTTTTTGCTATCAGCCTTTTATAATAAAATGGAAAATTTAATTTTTAACTTGTTTTTGCTACAGCTGGATAGAAGATACTGTTTTTTTTCCCAGATAATATAGGAACCTTTTTGTTCTCCAGCCATAAATCATCAAAAAACATCAGACCCAATAAATGGCTTATTCAATGACAGCTAGAAATAACAAAAAATCCACTTGGATTAAGATTTGAGTTACACAAGCAGGATCAGATGCAAAAAGACTGGCTTCAAGAGCTGTTTACATGTTTAACCTATACATACCTAGGACAACAATGAACACATACTAACAACTTGAAACCCACTGGATTCTAGAAAATATGTACAAGGGCTACAAAAAAACACCATAAAAATATATCCCCGGATGCTTGCTGTACACATGGAATATAATAAAGTGTAAAAAAAATCATAGGGTTAACCAAGTAACTATTTAAATCCACCTTTGGCAGATAATGGACAGGTTGAGAAAGAACATTTAATAAGAGATTTTAAAAAAAATCTAAAAAGAATTTGCAAAATATTATTTGGAATGAAATTCAAAAACAAATCAAAGAACTACTACTAATCTCACAAGTCTGAAAGCATACCATTGTATTTCTATTTGTTATTGAGCACTTGACATTGCATCAACATATTTTGATATTGAAATAAAAACATGTTCTCCTACAGGCAGTTAGACAATTTCAGCCCTCCCCATCATTTCCACAGTAGTTTCCCTGGCTCTGATTAAATGTCTGGTTCCACTGGATTTACAACTTTCAACGATTCCTTGTTAGCTGTTGATTTAGAGAAAAAAAACAGTTATTAGCTTACTTTTGTGTGATAAACAAATAAAATGGTTCAGGTTTTAACAAGAGCCGGTAAATTGAATCAAAGACAAAACATTTAATATATTGGAAACTTTAAACAATTAGCAGTTTTATGATAATTTTATAAGTAATTAAATATTAAATACTTTATTTACCATATTTTAGTTATTTAATTTAAAATATTGGCACCCATTACATATTAATGAGATGAAATTAGACTAAATATTTTTTTCTTTCTCTTCTCTCATTTCTGAATTTTTTTCCTCAAGCCACAGAAATACCTCATGTTATTAGTTTGAGGATTTTAGTAAAATTTGCTATATCTATTAAGTGACTGAAACAACTGGTGCACATCTAGATAGCAGTACAATATGTCTCAATGCAGAATTAAGAGAAGTGAACACTTATAGTCATATTTAAAAAAAAAGTCTATTAAACATCGTATAAATGCTTAAATGAAAGACTACAAATTAAATGTATCAGTTAAGAGAAATATGAATGCAATGAATTAATAAATTATGTTATCTACTACGTGCTGAAAATAAATGTGAGCATAAAACAAAAGTCATCACATATGTGTGGGAAATATTACATGTTAGTAATGGAACTCTCAAATGCTTACTTTAAAATTAATTAGTAATTAATCAGAGTGTTAATTGGGATCTATGGATGTTAAATGAAATGATTTTGTTAAGAGAAAAGATATGATCATAAAGTATGATAGAACTATGTGATACAATAAAACTGATAGGAAATCTTAGTAAGTAAAAGAAACAAAAATAACTATTTTCATTAGGAGACTATCCCTTAAAATTTGTATATGCAGAAAAAAATGGCTGGGTTGATGATTTTTGTTTAAATGGTACAGCAACTCATGACATGTATGTAGCAAAATGTGGTAAAGAAACAATTTATCCTAGCTGTTTTAAAATTTTTAGCTGCTGCTAAAAGAAAAAAAACCATCTGTTTAAATATTATAAAGCTTGCTTATAATTGATAACATAACATACACAATTTTTCAATTTTTTTTTATACCAAGCAGTGATTTTTAAACATAGAATTTTGAATGATTAAAAACCCTCTAAAAATAGTTCAGATTTTTTATAGCCATTTTAAAACCCTAACATAAATGTCCAGGAGCAAATGTTTACATCAAGTTGGCTTTGCAATCTAAGAAAAAATGTAATCTTATCAAAGTAAGGCTCTTTAAAATACGCAGATTTTTCTGTTTCATCTAGATATTAGAATTGTAAGTTACCACACAACATTCAACACTGCAACAGAAATATCTTGAAAAATTGTTTCTATGCTACCTGATTATATTAACAGTGAAACATGAGTAGATTTTAATCTTAACTTTGAGCTAACTCAATTCAAGTTTAATGAGAGAAAAAAATCTACATATGCAAATGTGCATTGAATTTTATTGAGATGCATGATGTATAGTTCACTGTACTAAAAAGGGCTTCTAAGATTTCAGTTTTAGTTAGTCAATGATTTTGAAGAGAGAATACATAATGACACATGCTAGTATTTTAATTTTAACTCCTAAAATGGTATTGCTAGGATGCTGGCCAATGGTCGTGTATCAATATATATATATATATATATATATATATATATATATATATATATATATATATACACATATACATATAAACAGGCAATGTAGTTGGTTGAACAAATTGGTAGCAAAAAAAAACACCATAACAATGCCACTCGTTTAAAAACAAACCACAGCAATGCTTAAAAGTGAAGATTAGCTAAAGGTTTCTATCCTTAATTTTTAAAATGAGATAATGTTCTAGGCTCTTTTAATGAGATTCTTTTCTATAAACATTTGTGGGGATAAATTTGGTTACAACAAAAGAGAAATCTGAAGCCCCTTGCAGTACCGAATTTGTAGAAGCCATGTAAAACTAAGAAGTTTTATGCACTAATATTGGATGAATTTATCTAGTGATAAAATGGTAAAATTATGATGATACACTGTGAAGTGGGTGAGGATACATTCATGAATGTTAGTGTTTTTTAAACAGTTGATTAGGACATGAAATCAGCTCTACTCTAGTCTCATAATTCTTCTGTGAGGGCAATTTATTAAACTTACAGAACAGTATCTCAAAAGTACTAGAGTGCTATTTTTTACTAGCTTGGTAAGTGTATCAATACAGAAATTGTTAGTTTATTACATTACTAGAATTAAAAAGAAAGATTTAAAGCAATACACACAGTTAAAAATATTTATCCACTTATTCTAACAACTGAAAACAAAAATCAAATTAGTTATAAGCGTTAAGTGATATTTTAGCTGGCATAAGCATAAACCAATGATTTTTGTAACAGCTGAAATAGGTCATTAAAATGCATTTAGTAATGAAACAGTAATGAGCTTGGTGAACTGTATTGTGGGGAAATTACTTGATAAACATTTAGCAATGCCACACCTGGAAAAACTAAATTTAAAATGTGTGACACATCAGATTTGTGGAATAAAATTATGAAAACCTGAGTTAATTATACTTGGTCCACCTAAAATTACTGCACACTTTAAAAATTGGAATAACACATGCTGTATATTATTTTATTTTTTCCGCTGTAATGAAGCAAACTGCTACTTAGGTTAAGGATCATGCTAGTAAATCTTTAAAATCATTGATCTAAACAAAGCGGGAAGAAAAAGGTATGCAAGATTTAAAAGAGAGACTGCGGTGATGCCCATGGTGTACAGATAAAACTGCCGTATGAGGAGCAGCCCCCAAAAGTTCAGACCTGCACAACAGGTTAAGGAAAATTCCTTAGTTGTTAGCAGCGTCTAAATCTTGGTTATCATTTTCTTGGTTGGCTTGGTCCTCTGGGAACTGATCCCGATCATCCCTCCCTTCTCTGTCTTGTTCATCTTCACCTTGCTGTTCCTCCTCACCGATATCCAACTTTTGAGCATTTCCATCTTCTCCAAAGTACTGGTTTTCTACAAGAGGCACATGGGGATGGTAATGATTGACATACAAAATAATGCAGGCTAGGTATGCGGTGGATATAAGTAAGTTCAAATGTTGGAGATTTGAAAAAAAAGAGGTAAATATGAAAGTAAAAAAAATCAAAGTAACATTCATAGAAGCAAGTATTCATATACATGTGATATAAAACAACTGAAATTCGTCAAAACTCTACATATGGTACAGAACTATATCATTAAGAATTTCTTTGTTAAATATGATACATTATAATTACCATCATGTTTTGTATGTTTTTATATTACAATAAATTTCAGATGCTTTTAGTTTTAAAAAAACTTTTTTATTGTGACAATTAATAATCAGTTAATATATCATTTTTAAAATTCTTATGTAGATGGATTAAAAAGTAAAATCTAATTCAGGAATGTCAAATCGTATATCAAGAATTAAAAAAAAAAATGTCAATTTTAAAAAGATAATGCTGAAGTCAAGCTATTGAAAACATTATTTGCACTCAGACAAATTAGAAATGTTAAAACTTGAAGTGAAACTTCAATACAGTACAGATTCTTCACAAAATTGAGAATGTAGTTCAACATCATATGAATGAAAGTTTGTTGCATTAATGATAAACAACATGAGAAAAGGTGAAACACTGGTAGTATATTGACTGGAAAATGTGTGTTTAAGAATGATGGACCAACTAAATATTTCACGAAAATTCATTCACCGTTAATATGTTAATAAAATCACCTCTAATCTTAGAATTTATAATGCATCTAAAATCATTGATTGGGTTAAATTTTGTAATGGAGCTAAAATCAGTAATTTGAAAAAAAAGAAGTGAGAATAAGTATAACTAGCACCCTCAAATAAATATAGTAGAATATAGGGATATTTAAGCTTTACCACACAGTTAAGTACAGGTAACCTTCACTTTACTGATTTAACTCTCCACAATTATTTTATAATTAGTTAGACTAAAAATAAGGTAAAAAGGGGCGGTGTGGTCAGAGGGTAGAGTGCTAGCAACTGTTAACCTGAAAGTCCTGAGTTTGGATCTTGGCCTGGACTTGAAACTGCAGGAGGTCCCTGAGTCCACCCAGCTCTGATGGGTAACTGACTCACATTAGGGAAAGTATAGTCTGCTGGGCATAGTGCTGACCACGCCATTCATTAATATGCCGAGTTCAAGAAACATGAACTCTACTTCATCTGCCCTATGGATTGTTAGGTCAGAAAGGGGAACTTTTATTTACTTTAAAAATAAGGTAGCATTGAAAACAAAGTACACTTTTACAATCTCATTATGTTTGGGTCAAATAAATTTATACCATTAAATAACGTGTTCAGTTAAATAGCAGGCATCTTAGGAGATTTGGCTAATTATTTGTAATGCTGCAGAATGAAACTTCCTTGATAAGGAGAACACGATTCACCCAAGCTGTGAGGCTAGAATTCTTGGACTTTACTACATAAAAATATATATGCTGCAGCTTATTTAAGGCTATTCATCAACATACAACATAAATTTCTACCCTGGATACCCTTTAAAATTTAAAAAGGAAATTAATTAAATTTTTTTCTTGAAACTACATTTTAATACTTTTTAATGTATAACAAGGTATACCTGTACTTAAAAATGTAGTGGTAATAAATATGTATTTTTATAACTCCATAAGACCAAGTTAAAAATAATGATAATCTTGAAGCTTATTTATCAAAAATAATAATCTGCACAAAAAGGATTTAGTGCAAGTGGCCTGATAAAATTGAAATTAAAACTTTTTCAATATTAGTTGCAATTAAATGATAATGGATACCAACAAAGAGAAAAGTCACATGCTGGCTACAGTAATAAATGTTACCAATAATATTTTTAGCTAAATTCAGAAGGCAAATAAAATTTTTCCTGTTAATTTACTGACAGTTATAAAAAATATGTTAGACTTTCTTCTACATTTAAACCCAACTCTATTTTGCCAACTGCCTTGGTTGATATCCATTCAAAAAATAAAATGCTACAAAAATATTTTTGGGATATATCTGTGCTCCTTGATTGATAGAACATTTAAATTTTAAAAACAAAAGTAATACCCTTTCTTTTCACTGGATTCAGATCCTTAAAACCAGCTACAACAGAAACAGAGATATATTGAGACAGTGAAAATAAAAATATTGCGTTTACAAATAATTTCTTTTTCTAGACTATAATGAAGTAAGTAACATTAAGCTGGATATATTGGATCAGAGCAATATTAAGCAGCTTGGCAGAAAGCTTTGGATAGGAATGTTGCTTGTTAGTGCATGGAGAGTTTAGATAGAATAGGGAGTTTTAAATATAAAGGTTTTCATATAAGATTCTTTCAGAAATCAAACACCCTTTTAAAATTACATTTTTTTTAAAACGTCGTGGATGTTTTTTTAATATGTGGAGAGGCAATATATCTTTAAAATAAATGAAATCATGGTAAAATAGATTTGTATTGGTTTCAAATGAAACTTTGTAGTTTTGATTACAAATAACCAGAATTAAATTTTAATAGTGTAGTGACGATGACTTGGACAAAATATAGCACGATTTTCTAACTAAACAAATTAAAGTATTAAACTTAACTTAAGTTTAAATAAAAAACCACGACCCTTATGTACAGAATAAACTTCACAACACATAGAAGAATAAAAAATAAAGAATTGGGACAGAAATGAACAAAAGCACATAGCTTGAAAGATATCTACTTAAATAAAATGATAAAAATGTATTTAGCATTCTACAAAATGTATTAAAAATGACTCCAATATATAGAAGAGAAGATGAAGTATTAAAGTAAAAAAATTATATTAATTAATTTCTTTTTATAATTAGACTTTAATATTTTTAGAAGTTTTTAAAATCGCTGAAGTGTATACATTTCATCTTCAAATAGCTGTAAATTTTTTAATATTATCTTATGTTCAAATAATGTTAAAATAAACTGTATCATATAAAATGAAATAACTATAATTTAAAAAAAAAAACAACACACACACACAACAACATTAAGAAAATGTAATGAGTTTAAAAACCAAACTTTTTCTTACCAGCATTTTCATTTCTTTCATTCTAAAAAAAAAGAATGAATGTATAAGCTTAGAAAAACAAGCAACAAAAAATCAAATATACAACAATGATTTTTTAAAATCAAACATTATTTTTACTCTGGGCTCACATTAGGTCAGCTTGTAGTGTATTGTTTTACTTTAACAAAAAATATCTTTGCACATCAACAATGTAACACAATCAATGCTAAAATGATGTCCATAAAAACTGGAGAAAGAATCAAACCAAACACCTACCTCTTCATTTATAATTGGTGGCATCTGTTGCCCATCAACCTTGCTCTTGGCACCGTCCAGTCCATTATCCATTGCATTAGGTTCCTGGATCTGACCTAAAGCCAAAGGAGCCTTATGCTCCTGGACAACATCATTATCATCCTCATCTACCTTCACTCCTGTGTCCATGTTGTAATCTTCCCTCCTGGAGTTTTCCCTGTGACCTTCATTTCTCTGCTCATCTTTATCTTTGCCTAGATATGGCCCAAGGATTTGTCCTTTTTGTGCATCATTAGGATTTATCTCTGGTCTCTCATCTTGCTGAAAACAAAATATTTTTTCATGTAGTAAAAAAAAACATGGAGAAGTCTGCTACACCACATAAACAAAATAAAATGTACCTTAGCACTTGCAACTTTTTATTCTCTTAAGATAATGAAAACTAAACAGAAAATAAAAGTCAATAATTGGTCAAACATACATTAGTGTCCAGACCATTTCTGATTTGTTCATTATCATTGTCTAGGCCGTTATTAACCGGTGGTCTAACTTGGTGATGAGCATTCATTTCATCTAAATCAGCATTACCTAAAAAGAACATCATAGATGTGGGGGTATAAAAAAAACAACCCAACTTAATAATAATGATCATATAACATTCAAGATTTGGAAGTAGTTAAAAAGACAAATGTGCACCATCACCAATAGCTTTAAAAACAAGAGACAACTTATATTGGGAGTCACATTTAAGGTTTTTAAATACCCCCTCATCCTTATGTACTCTGCCACTGCTGACCTCATTTTTTTAAGGATTCAGTATAAATACATGACATGTGATGTGAGTGCTGTGAGGCAACACTGTTCATGAGTGTGTTTATCACTGATATATACATATAAATCTATACATTTAAATTTGTATATAATCACACACACACACATATGTACATACACTAGACCTTCCTACCCCTGGCAACCAAAAGTAGGAACATTCATACCTAAAAATAGGAATTTGAAGCCAAAAAAGAGGAACATACATGCTGATGCTACTTTACTACGTCGAAAATAAAAATAATTAAAAATAATGACATTATACACAGTAACATACATACAAGCATAGGTATAGTGTTTAGTAGGCTTCTAGTTATATATAACTAGTCTGTAGGCTCCATCTAAATACTGCTTAATGTTAGCTTAAGTTTAACCAGTAACCTGAGACCCCCCAACCCCACCTCAACAATAAAAACCATAGCTGTAACATGACATTATTGATTTAATTAATCCTGCCTTGCAATGTTCTAGGCCATATGAACAACAAATGCTGAAGGCTTAGTATGTAATATAAAATATAAATTAAAGCTAAGGAGTTAAGACCTACCTAGTAAAAGTCCTAGTTACTTCTTTTTAGTGACAAGATAGATTTAATATCTAGATCTAGAAATTAGCTGTTAGTCATGATATGTTTGTATTTTTCTACCTACATGTTATTTAAGGCATAATTAAAGTCTACAATTCATTTGCAAATACTTGTAAATATTGTAAGTAATCAAGGAAACGGAAACGTGTGCCAAAGTGAGATAATCGCTTTTTCCCTGCTCTTTGTTTTAATTCGATTTTTTTTTTTAGAAAAGAACAAACTTTGGCAAAAGCGGGATGGTGGAACAGGACATGTTTTTTTTTAAAAAGCGGAATAATTCGGCCTTTGGCAGGACGGTAGGCATGTCTGATACACATATATTTACAACTCCCCCCTGCCTACACCACTGTGTCCATTCACACATAAACATGTAATCACAGCATCAACCCTAAGTTAGTTGCATATAGAGGATTGAGGTGTATTTATTGGTGAAACTAGTAAATCAATCTTTAAATAGGGTGAAACACCATGTAGTATTGATAATAAATTTCAATTCAAAAACATTCTTTGTTGATAAAAAAAGGAAATTTTTTATTTACCTCCAGCTTTAAAATTTGTCTTTAAAGCAAGATGGTCTTTCATATCAAAAGATAGGGGAGTTTCTCTTCTAACACCTAGGTCCTTATTGTCATTTCCTATAACTGATTCCCTTTTAAAACTAAGATCATGGTTGTTGTTTGCAACCAAGCGATGAGCAGGATCCTCATATAATTTTCCACCATTGTCATCTGGACTTTTATCCCTTTGGCTCTCATCAGGTTTGACCTGATCTAGATTGTCTTTCTGTTGCTCTCTGTCTAGGTTGTCAATCTGAACATAATGAAAAAAAAACCCCACACTAACATTAGTTCACAATATTATAACTACAAGGCAACTACAAGGAAATACAACAAAAAAATAGTAGCTCTAGCATATCATGAGCTAGATTGACAATTAAAAACTTGGATTTAGAAATAAAACGAATTAGAAAGAGAAAATATTATCAAAAGCTGGGAGCCATGTTACTGTACGATAGGCCAGCGACCAACTATTGGGATCGTCATTATGGTCTTAAATAGTTAATGAATAACATGGAGTAAAAAAATAAGTCATACCTTTTATTTACTAAGAAAGTGTAAAATTAACCACCAATAAAATGAAAATGTAAAAGTACTGAAAAATTTAGAAACAGTTCACAATCATTAAGGCTAACCTTCATATTCTGCACTGCGGCAGTTGGTCCATTCAGAAAATTATTGCCTACTGGGTCCATATTGATCTTTGTTTCTACAGCTCTAGGTGGCTGTTGGTTATTTAGCTGAAGCTGGTTATGAGCTTGTTGAAGTCTAGAATTTTCAGCAACAAGACTTTTTTGAGCTTCCTGTTAACAATCAAATTCATATTAAAATTCTTATAGTGAATTTTAAAAAAAAAATGTTAACAATGAAACAAGGTTATAAAAAAATTCCAAAAAGCTTTACAGAGAATTATTTGAGTTTTGAATTAAGAAAATGGAACAAAAACACTAGGTAACGACTAAATAGATTTGTATTAAATAGCTTTTTTAGATCAACATATTTTCGACCAAAATATGATGCAATGGATTAAATTATTGTTTTTTTTTTAGCAAACATTGTGAAACAGGTGAATTTATTTAGCTTTAAATATAAATAATCAAATTAAGCAAGCATGCAAAGCAAAGGAATTTTTGTAAAACTTTTCTTACAGTGATAACAGTTTTTTATTCACGAAAATAAGAAATACTTTTACTAGTTAATTACTCCTAATACTATAATGGAACTTGAATAACAATTATTATACAGCGATTACACTTGTGACATGAATACTGTACATGTCTTGGAGAAAATACTTGCAAAAAGTTAATGTTATATGAAACATTTTTTCCCACAGAACATCTATACTTACTAGCTGCAAGATTTTTCTAGACACATACAGTATATATGTAGCAAGTGTAAACACAGTGTTAGGGGTAATAGGGACAAATATTAAGCAATACTTTTTGTCAATATAAAACAGTTTAAGTGATTAAAAATAATAATATATTTGTGCTATAGTGATATTTTTGTGTGATCAAAACATGAGTATTCAAAAGTAATAATGTGAAAACTGCCTTACTTTATTTATTGTTTTATAAATTAACAAAGAGTATATATTAACCCATATTATCCCAAGGTCTCAAATTTTTATAATTTTTTGATATGGTTTAGCTTTTGGGCACTGAATGAAGGAATGACTATGGATTTTTTAAAAAAATCAATACTTTTTTAAATATCGATTTTTTTAAAAACGTCCCATAAATGGGACGCTAGCAACGAACGGCCCCATGTACATTTATTGAAAAATAAAATCATTTTTCACGAAATATGGCTAATCACGCGAAAATTAAGCTGTATACTGATTTTGTATTGTTAGACCAATGATTTAATTGTATAGGACAGCTAAAAATACTGATAATGATCAATTGGGTTAGCCATACCATGGTCTAAAATGCAGAAATTATGTTCAAAAGTCTAGTTTTCTTTCAATCTAGCATCCATCAAAGTGAACAACACTTGGAAATAAGTAAAGCTGTGACTAGTACATCTAATTATACACACATGATCACAAATATTGTTATTATTCATCGAAACTGTAATATAATTAAATATAAATCATTGATTTTTTTGGGGGGCGTACTTGAAATTTTCAGGGGTGGGGACTTAAATTTCAGGGGAAGGGTGGACATTGGTAAAAGTATGTTTTGTATATAAATTCCATTTTCTTCTGGGGGCAGAGCCCCCCCCCCCCCCTCCTCCGAAATGATGCCTGAAAGAAACTCTGCCCTTAGTCTATTTGTAATAGATGATCCAGTCCAGTCCCAGATGTCATCCAGCCATCTTCTCTTTTGTTACCCTCGCTATTCCCCCCCCCCCCCCCACAGGCGTACATTAGGACATCAGACATCTTATTTCTAGGGCACGGATCCGTCTCTGGGGGCTTGTATTGAGTGTTCATTGCTCTCATCCATGTATGCACCTCACTATGCGAACAGCTCCCAATCTAACACCAGGAATCTCCTTAAAAAGTTAACAAAGTAAAGCTGGTATCGGTAACCTTTGGAGGGGGATATTATTGGGGCATGACAACTGTACACAGCTAATTCACATTTCTGCTATATGTAGCTTAAGCTCTCTTATATGAAGAGAGTTAACCAACCCCCATGACTGAATCATTTCACCTAAATCGTGGCCATTGTTATTATTCTGGTTTGTTATAATTTTAATATCACGCGCTAGTAAATTTACAGCAATACTAAATTAGTTTGTATTCAATGGTATTAAATTCTTCAGTAAGTGTCATTCTGAAAACTTAAAAATAAAATATAAGTTTTTTAAATATTTGCAATTTTTTAATACAATAATATATAAGGAAATATAGCTCAAGGTCATCTATAATAATAGTTTCGCTGTCTGTCTGACAAGAACGCTCTGTCTGACAAGAACGCTCTGTCTGACAAGAACGCTCTAGAGAAAAGACAAGCAATTTAAAAACATGCACAGTAATTCGAAAAACGAAGTATGACGTCGACACATTTAGCGCACAGAGTAGAAAATAATCTCACAGTAATATAATGACGTCATTGATTCTGGCGTAAATATTGAATAAAGAGGAAATGTTGTCTAATCTAAGTGGTTTGCGTGAAGAGTTTCTTGCATACAATTCTTCGGGTAGGGGCGAAGCCCCACCCCCCGCGTAAGAACGTCTGAGCCCCTCCCCCTCCCCAACTCAAAAGAAATTTCCTCATCGATACTCTATAATAAAATTACCGCCTAATTAATGTGTCTAATCTAAAAAGTGGTTTTCTTGCAATGGGACGGTAGACATGATTTTTTTTTGGGGGGGGGGGGGGGGGTGGGGGGGTGGAGGGGTTGGGGGGGGGGGGGGTGTGTGGGGGGGGTGGTGTGGGTGGGGGGGGGGGTGTGGGGGGGGGGGGTGGGTTGGTTTCAGTGTTTCTTTCAGACTTTTTCCTCCCCGGAGAGGGGTGGGGGTACTTGAAATTTTCGGGGGCGGGGGTAGAATTTTCTGGGAGGGGGCGGACACTGGAAAAAGTATATAATTATATTTCGTTGAATGGGACGGTAGACATGTTTTTTTTGGGGGTGGGGGGTGGTGGAGGGGTGGGGGTGGGGGTGGTGTGTGGGGGGTGGGGGGTGGGTTGGTTTCAGTGTTTCTTTCAGACTTTTTCCTCCTCGGAGAGGGGTGGGGGTACTTGAAATTTTTGGGGGCGGGGATAGAATTTTCTGGGAGGGGGCGGACACTGGAAAAAGTATATAATTATATTTCGTTGAATGGGACGGTAGACATGTTTTTTTTTTGGGGGGGGGGGGGTGGGGGGTTGGGGGGCGGTGTGTGGAGGGGGTGGTGTGTGGGGGTGAGGGGTGGGGGTGGGGGTGGTGGGGGGTGGGGGTGGGGGTGGTGTGTGGGGGTGGGGGTGGTGTGTGGGGTGGTGGGTTGGTTTTAGTTTAGAGAAAAGAGACAGCACTATCAGCCTAGCGCCCGTTGTACCCTTCCTCAACGGGCCATTTTTCTCGTAATTAAATATCTATAAATACTATTTAACACCCCAAAGTCAACAGTTAACAAAGTCAACAATTGTTTCACCATAAATAACCATTTAACATAAATATTTGCATCTGTGTTTCACGCTAGTGTCCAATAAATGTGACGTTTGTGTAACAATCTGCATAAATATAGGTCAAGGTCATAATTAAATATCTATACATACTACTTAACACCCCAAAGTCAGCAGTTAACAAAGTCAACAATTGTTTCACCATAAATAACCATTTAACATAAACATTTGCATCTGTGTTTCTCGCTAGTGTCCAATAAATGTGACGTTTGTGTAACAATCTACATGGGGCCATTCGTTGCTAGCGTCCCACTTATGGGACGCTTGTTGTACACTTGATATAACGAAGTAGTAAAAAAAAATTGTTATTTTTAAATTTTTATCAGATAGAAATATGGTACTGCTACAAGTTTCAAATGTATTTTGCACTTAAAATGTTAATATTTTAGAAGATATGCATTATCCTGTGCGCATGTTTTCTTTTTTCCGCCATTTTGACAAGTCCTGCAAAACCGGCACTATAACATTTTTCTAAATTAATTTTTTTCACAAAACACACACAAATTCAATAGTCTAGCCATTTTCAAATACAATGAAACATAATTTGTGTTTTAACTAGTTTTTAATAAATTTTAGCAATTTTTTTACCAAGCGTCCCATAAGTGGGACGCTAGCAGAATATGGGTTAAATATATAAATAAGTTAACCTTAAACTATATAAAGTTAATGTTGTGTCTCATCACAATAACTAAAAAAACCCCACAGTATAGATAGTGAAATATTTTGTAAGATAAAGCTGATGATTAAAATGGTTACCCGTCAAAAGAGCGCCGACATAAGAGCGCAGACAAAAGAGCGCAATCAATTAAAAAAATACATGTTGTACGCTAAACGAATACGACATGGTTATCACTTGTTTTAATTAATCAACCGGCGGTACGATAAAACGACGTATTTATTTATATATTATGATTAATATGTAATGAATGCAGTTTGAAAATATTTCTAAACAAGTAACATGGAGAAGATCGCATCAAAGAAAGGGAAGGTTATCATATTGGTCGAAGGCTACAGATATCGGAAGGACAAAGCAAATGCTGACTGAAGTACGACATGGAGATGCTGAAAGAAAGATGGCTGCCGAGCTAGTCCTGCAGAAATTATAACACTGGTAGATTATTGGGAGGATATTTACATAGGGAGGCGAAGGAGAAACCGTCGAGGTGACCCACGCTTCGCTCTTTCTATTTGAAATGTCCATAATCGTGTCGCTGAAAATCTACCCTGTACAAAAAACTCTGTCGAGGTTTCGTATGGAACAAAATCACATCGAAATCGAACTGGAACGTCATCTAGCTGGAGTTAATCAACCAGAAGCTTCAAAGAACAAATATGTTCAGCTGAACCGAAGATTGCAGGCGATTGCTTCAATCTATGCTAATGATTCAATGATGGACTACCTACGAGGTAAAACCCACAATAAAGAGTTAACATCAAACGATGCCTTCTGATCTGAGTTAATGTTCTTGTTCCTATATGGTTTTTCAATCTTTAGTTTGCGCTCTTATGTCAGCGATCTTTTGACGGGGTGCCGATTAAAATGAGGAGATAAGTTAGGTAAATCATTGGTAGAACTACAGATGAACAGGATAGTTTTCTTCTTCAATATCACAAAATTGTCAAAACCTCAGACATTTATTTATAAAGTACAACAAATACTACATATAGCTCTTTATGTACTACTACTGTATTTAAAATATCAGAAGTTAACAACTGTATTAATTCATGTTTTTTTTTTTAAATTCCGGTAGTAGTATGTATAATGGTGTATATAATTTAAAATGGTCCATCCATCAGTTATTTTTGGCATTTTTGGTAAAAGGGTCTGAGCAAGGATTTGGGAGTAGGTACTAGCAAAAAGCATTAATACATGTGGTGAACATTCACTTAAGTACTTGAAAAAAGATTGAACCATCAAAATATTTTAACAAAGCTAATTTTTTTTTAAATGAAAGAGAATAAAAATTACATGCTTGAATAAAATTGAATTTGCAAGAAATACTTTTTTTTTGAAAACCCTCACAAGGATAAAAAACGGTTAGACTTAATGCACCTATTTGGAAGTTAACAAAATATGAATAAAGTCAACTGTATGGAAAATACACCTGAAGAGCATAATAGTTTTTCTGTAAACTATGTGCAAGATTAACATCCGCTTCATGCTGCTTCTGTGTAAACAAATTAAGAATACAAACTGTTATTGTTCCTGTAATCCACTGCTTTTTTGGCAGGCATGTTATAAAACTAAAATTTTCATACGATAACGTAATCACTGACACCTCAACTTTTGACATAGAAAAAAATATTTCAGAACAACATAATAAAAGATATTTAGACATGTGTAAATGTTTTTTTTAAAAACATGCGTTAATATGTACACAACAGCACACTTCTAGTTAGGATAAACTGCAAACAATTTTTAATGTGAAGCTAAATGCAATTTCAAAACATTGTGGCCAGGACAAAAAAGACACCAGCAGTGGAGCTATGTGACTAGAAAAACTTAAAGATCACCTTTGACTCTGTGCTATTTGTTGAGTGTAACAGGGTACTATTTTTCTGCTGCTTCAAACAGGAAGTAAAAGTGTACAATTATCAACTCATCAATGACAGGTGTAAATTAAAAGCTAATGAAAACTGTACAATTCCCAAACTGTACAAACAACTTTCAACTCCACTTGCTAAGTCTAAAAATTAGTTATTTGAATTGGGTTTCTTTGAAATCACAACAAGGCATTATGTTGAAGATTGATAGACAAAACTGAGGGGGAAAACACCAACACTAAAATTCTACTATATCTAGGCAGTCCGAACTGGCGAAAAAGTGCGCTTTGGGGTCATTTTTTTTTTGCAGTTTTCAAAAAAAATATTTCACTACTTCTAGTTGTGCTATAAGAATAAAAATTATGTGTGAATAAAGTTTAAGTCTTTATCTGTCAAAATCTGGTATTTTTATATCTGTAACTCATGTTTGAATGTGTTTTATATTTGTTTGAAAAGTATCAGTTATGTCAACAAATTTCACCCTTTTGCAAGTATCGATTGACCCCACACTGTTTCGACTAAGCATCGTAGGAGTATAATCTTAATGTCATTTTAAAGAGCGAATTCTAGCCTATCGTTAGATGTATAAATTGAAAAAAATAACTTGTTAATTTTATTTAAAAAATCAGTTTTTAAACTTTAAATGACGACAAATACACAAAAACAAACTAATTCTGTTTCAATTTGTACACTAAATTTAGATTCTGTTTCTCCTGCACTAGATAAATGTGGCATTTTCAAAAATAATATTTTAACTCATGTGATTTTTGAAAATAATGAACACATTTTTTATTTTAATGTTAACAACGCAATAGTTTTAGAGTTATTCTATGTCTAAAACAAAAACATAATTTTCAATTTTTTTTTTTGGAATGAAAATAAAAATGACCAAAACGCATTCTTTTAATTTTCAATTATTTTTTTTTTACCTTAGAAAGACTCATTTTAGATAACTGAAAAATATTGGGAATATATATTACAAACTTTGCAGAAACATTACCAATTTCTACACTTCTATGTTATTTAGTTTAGAAAATATGGGTTCTCAAAATGGCACTTTGTGAAAATCAATTTTTTACCAAATTTTGCTTTTAAAAAATTGCATAACTTTTTTATTTATTGAGACAATTTTAAAAAATGTGTGTCATAGAGTTTACAGTTAAAAGTTCTTTAAGGACATACTCACTACAGAAGTCTGCAATCAATAGTTAATTTCAGTTTGGACTACCTACTACATCTAGAAACATACAATTTTTTTACCTCATCTTCTGAGATTTTGTTTTTCAGCTCCACAAGTTTAGATTCAAGCTCAATGACCTTCTGGTCACTCGATCTTTTTAAGTTAGCCACTTCATCTGAAATTAATAAATCTTCTGGTCACTCAATCTTTTTAAGTTAGCCACTTCATCTGAAATTAATAAATCTTCTGGTCACTCAATCTTTTTAAGTTAGCCACTTCATCTGAAATTAATAAATCTTCTGGTCACTCAATCTTTTTAAGTTAGCCACTTCATCTGAAATTAATAAATCTTCTGGTCACTCAATCTTTTTAAGTTAGCCACTTCATCTGAAATTAATAAATCTTCTGGTCACTCAATCTTTTTAAGTTAGCCACTTCATCTGAAATTAATAAATCTTCTGGTCACTCAATCTTTTTAAGTTAGCCACTTCATCTAAAATTAATAAATCTTCTGGTCACTCAATCTTTTTAAGTTAGCCACTTCATCTGAAATTAATAAATCTTCTGGTCACTCAATCTTTTTAAGTTAGCCACTTCATCTGAAATTAATAAATCTTCTGGTCACTCAATCTTTTTAAGTTAGCCACTTCATCTGAAATTAATAAATCTTCTGGTCACTCAATCTTTTTAAGTTAGCCAGTTCCTCTGAAATTAATAAATCTTCTGGTCACTCAATCTTTTTAAGTTAGCCACTTCATCTGAAATTAATAAATCTACTGGTCACTCAATCTTTTTAAGTTAGCCACTTCATCTGAAATTAATAAATCTTCTGGTCACTCAATCTTTTTAAGTTAGCCACTTCATCTAAAATTAATAAATCTTCTGGTCACTCAATCTTTTTAAGTTAGCCACTTCATCTGAAATTAATAAATCTTCTGGTCACTCAATCTTTTTAAGTTAGCCACTTCATCTGAAATTAATAAATCTTCTGGTCACTCAATCTTTTTAAGTTAGCCACTTCATCTGAAATTAATAAATCTTCTGGTCACTCAATCTTTTTAAGTTAGCCACTTCATCTGAAATTAATAAATCTTCTGGTCACTCAATCTTTTTAAGTTAGCCAGTTCATCTGAAATTAATAAATCTTCTGGTCACTCAATCTTTTTAAGTTAGCCAGTTCATCTGAAATTAATAAATCTTCTGGTCACTCAATCTTTTTAAGTTAGCCACTTCATCTGAAATTAATAAATCTTCTGGTCACTCAATCTTTTTAAGTTAGCCACTTCATCTGAAATTAATAAATCTTCTGGTCACTCAATCTCTTTAAGTTAGCCACTTCATCTGAAATTAATAAATCTTCTGGTCACTCAATCTCTTTAAGTTAGCCACTTCATCTGAAATTAATAAATCTTCTGGTCACTCAATCTTTTTAAGTTAGCCACTTCATCTGAAATTAATAAATCTTCTGGTCACTCAATCTTTTTAAGTTAGCCACTTCATCTGAAATTAATAAATCTTCTGGTCACTCAATCTTTTTAAGTTAGCCACTTCATCTGAAATTAATAAATCTTCTGGTCACTCAATCTTTTTAAGTTAGCCAGTTCCTCTGAAATTAATAAATCTTCTGGTCACTCAATCTTTTTAAGTTAGCCACTTCATCTGAAATTAATAAATCTTCTGGTCACTCAATCTTTTTAAGTTAGCCACTTCATCTGAAATTAATAAATCTTCTGGTCACTCAATCTTTTTAAGTTAGCCACTTCATCTGAAATTAATAAATCTTCTGGTCACTCAATCTTTTTAAGTTAGCCACTTCATCTGAAATTAATAAATCTTCTGTTCACTCAATCTTTATAATTTAGCCACTTCATCTGAAATTAATAAATCTTCTGATCACTCAATCTTTTTAAGTTAGCCACTTCCTCTGAAATTAATAAATCTTCTGGTCACTCAATCTTTTTAAGTTAGCCAGTTCCTCTGAAATTAATAAATCTTCTGGTCACTCAATCTTTTTAAGTTAGCCACTTCATCTGAAATTAATAAATCTTCTGGTCACTCAATCTTTTTAAGTTAGCCACTTCATCTGAAATTAATAAATCTTCTGGTCACTCAATCTTTTTAAGTTAGCCACTTCATCTGAAATTAATAAATCTTCTGGTCACTCAATCTTTTTAAGTTAGCCACTTCATCTGAAATTAATAAATCTTCTGGTCACTCAATCTTTTTAAGTTAGCCACTTCAACTGAAATTAATAAATCTTCTGGTCACTCAATCTTTTTAAGTTAGCCACTTCATCTGAAATTAATAAATCTTCTGGTCACTCAATCTCTTTAAGTTAGCCACTTCATCTGAAATTAATAAATCTTCTGGTCACTCAATCTCTTTAAGTTAGCCACTTCATCTGAAATTAATAAATCTTCTGGTCACTCAATCTCTTTAAGTTAGCCACTTCATCTGAAATTAATAAATCTTCTGGTCACTCAATCTTTTTAAGTTAGCCACTTCATCTGAAATTAATAAATCTTCTGGTCACTCAATCTCTTTAAGTTAGCCACTTCATCTGAAATTAATAAATCTTCTGGTCACTCAATCTTTTTAAGTTAGCCACTTCATCTGAAATTAATAAATCTTCTGGTCACTCAATCTTTTTAAGTTAGCCACTTCATCTGAAATTAATAAATCTTCTGGTCACTCAATCTTTTTAAGTTAGCCACTTCATCTGAAATTAATAAATCTTCTGGTCACTCAATCTTTTTAAGTTAGCCAGTTCCTCTGAAATTAATAAATCTTCTGATCACTCAATCTTTTTAAGTTAGCCACTTCATCTGAAATTAATAAATCTTCTGGTCACTCAATCTTTTTAAGTTAGCCACTTCATCTGAAATTAATAAATCTTCTGGTCACTCAATCTTTTTAAGTTAGCCACTTCATCTGAAATTAATAAATCTTCTGGTCACTCAATCTTTTTAAGTTAGCCACTTCATCTGAAATTAATAAATCTTCTGTTCACTCAATCTTTATAATTTAGCCACTTCATCTGAAATTAATAAATCTTCTGGTCACTCAATCTTTTTAAGTTAGCCACTTCATCTGAAATTAATAAATCTTCTGGTCACTCAATCTTTTTAAGTTAGCCAGTTCCTCTGAAATCAATAAATCTTCTGGTCACTCAATCTTTTTAAGTTAGCCACTTCATCTGAAATTAATAAATCTTCTGGTCACTCAATCTTTTTAAGTTAGCCACTTCATCTGAAATTAATAAATCTTCTGGTCACTCAATCTCTTTAAGTTAGCCACTTCATCTGAAATTAATAAATCTTCTGGTCACTCAATCTTTTTAAGTTAGCCACTTCATCTGAAATTAATAAATCTTCTGGTCACTCAATCTTTTTAAGTTAGCCACTTCATCTGAAATTAATAAATCTTCTGGTCACTCAATCTTTTTAAGTTAGCCACTTCATCTGAAATTAATAAATCTTCTGGTCACTCAATCTTTTTAAGTTAGCCAGTTCCTCTGAAATTAATAAATCTTCTGATCACTCAATCTTTTTAAGTTAGCCACTTCATCTGAAATTAATAAATCTTCTGGTCACTCAATCTTTTTAAGTTAGCCAGTTCCTCTGAAATTAATAAATCTTCTGGTCACTCAATCTTTTTAAGTTAGCCAGTTCCTCTGAAATTAATAAATCTTCTGGTCACTCAATCTTTTTAAGTTAGCCACTTCATCTGAAATTAATAAATCTTCTGGTCACTCAATCTTTTTAAGTTAGCCACTTCATCTGAAATTAATAAATCTTCTGGTCACTCAATCTTTTTAAGTTAGCCACTTCATCTGAAATTAATAAATCTTCTGGTCACTCAATCTTTTTAAGTTAGCCACTTCATCTGAAATTAATAAATCTTCTGGTCACTCAATCTTTTTAAGTTAGCCACTTCATCTGAAATTAATAAATCTTCTGGTCACTCAATCTTTTTAAGTTAGCCAGTTCCTCTGAAATCAATAAATCTTCTGGTCACTCAATCTTTTTAAGTTAGCCACTTCATCTGAAATTAATAAATCTTCTGGTCACTCAATCTTTTTAAGTTAGCCACTTCATCTGAAATTAATAAATCTTCTGGTCACTCAATCTCTTTAAGTTAGCCACTTCATCTGAAATTAATAAATCTTCTGGTCACTCAATCTTTTTAAGTTAGCCACTTCATCTGAAATTAATAAATCTTCTGGTCACTCAATCTTTTTAAGTTAGCCACTTCATCTGAAATTAATAAATCTTCTGGTCACTCAATCTTTTTAAGTTAGCCACTTCATCTGAAATTAATAAATCTTCTGGTCACTCAATCTTTTTAAGTTAGCCAGTTCCTCTGAAATTAATAAATCTTCTGATCACTCAATCTTTTTAAGTTAGCCACTTCATCTGAAATTAATAAATCTTCTGGTCACTCAATCTTTTTAAGTTAGCCAGTTCCTCTGAAATTAATAAATCTTCTGGTCACTCAATCTTTTTAAGTTAGCCAGTTCCTCTGAAATTAATAAATCTTCTGGTCACTCAATCTTTTTAAGTTAGCCACTTCATCTGAAATTAATAAATCTTCTGGTCACTCAATCTTTTTAAGTTAGCCACTTCATCTGAAATTAATAAATCTTCTGGTCACTCAATCTTTTTAAGTTAGCCACTTCATCTGAAATTAATAAATCTTCTGGTCACTCAATCTTTTTAAGTTAGCCACTTCATCTGAAATTAATAAATCTTCTGGTCACTCAATCTTTATAATTTAGCCACTTCATCTGAAATTAATAAATCTTCTGGTCACTCAATCTTTTTAAGTTAGCCACTTCCTCTGAAATTAATAAATCTTCTGGTCACTCAATCTTTTTAAGTTAGCCAGTTCCTCTGAAATTAATAAATCTTCTGGTCACTCAATCTTTTTAAGTTAGCCACTTCATCTGAAATTAATAAATCTTCTGGTCACTCAATCTTTTTAAGTTAGCCACTTCATCTGAAATTAATAAATCTTCTGGTCACTCAATCTTTTTAAGTTAGCCACTTCATCTGAAATTAATAAATCTTCTGGTCACTCAATCTTTTTAAGTTAGCCACTTCATCTGAAATTAATAAATCTTCTGGTCACTCAATCTTTTTAAGTTAGCCACTTCATCTGAAATTAATAAATCTTCTGGTCACTCAATCTCTTTAAGTTAGCCACTTCATCTGAAATTAATAAATCTTCTGGTCACTCAATCTCTTTAAGTTAGCCACTTCATCTGAAATTAATAAATCTTCTGGTCACTCAATCTCTTTAAGTTAGCCACTTCATCTGAAATTAATAAATCTTCTGGTCACTCAATCTTTTTAAGTTAGCCACTTCATCTGAAATTAATAAATCTTCTGGTCACTCAATCTTTTTAAGTTAGCCACTTCATCTGAAATTAATAAATCTTCTGGTCACTCAATCTTTTTAAGTTAGCCACTTCATCTGAAATTAATAAATCTTCTGGTCACTCAATCTTTTTAAGTTAGCCACTTCATCTGAAATTAATAAATCTTCTGGTCACTCAATCTTTTTAAGTTAGCCACTTCATCTGAAATTAATAAATCTTCTGGTCACTCAATCTTTTTAAGTTAGCCACTTCATCTGAAATTAATAAATCTTCTGGTCACTCAATCTTTTTAAGTTAGCCACTTCATCTGAAATTAATAAATCTTCTGGTCACTCAATCTCTTTAAGTTAGCCACTTCATCTGAAATTAATAAATCTTCTGGTCACTCAATCTCTTTAAGTTAGCCACTTCATCTGAAATTAATAAATCTTCTGGTCACTCAATCTTTTTAAGTTAGCCACTTCATCTGAAATTAATAAATCTTCTGGTCACTCAATCTTTTTAAGTTAGCCACTTCATCTGAAATTAATAAATCTTCTGGTCACTCAATCTTTTTAAGTTAGCCACTTCATCTGAAATTAATAAATCTTCTGGTCACTCAATCTTTTTAAGTTAGCCACTTCATCTGAAATTAATAAATCTTCTGGTCACTCAATCTTTTTAAGTTAGCCACTTCATCTGAAATTAATAAATCTTCTGGTCACTCAATATGGTCAATCGAGTAAGATGGACAGGTGTGGCTGCATCCCTATGCTACACAATGGGTCCACAGGAATGATGATAATGAAAGCAATATGTGGTATAAACAATGTTTAAGCATGTGAACTATTTCACTTCTTGGTTGGACATACCTTTACATGCTGTTATTTCATTTTCTTTCTCCTGCTTCAGAGTTTGGAATTCTTGAAGGTGCTGACTCTTCTCATCCTCATTTTCCAATCTCATTTTTTCCATATCATCTTTAAGTTTCATCAGATCTGACTCAATCTCTTTGTACTGACTCTGCACAGTAAAGATAAAAATAAATTGGTAATTAATATATTGTTGAAACTGCTATGAACTACTTTAATTTTCTAATTAGAAAAGAATCTTCACAAATAAATAACAGTGTTATTATAAATTAATTTACTAAAATAAAATATTTAGAGGCACAAGATAAACTCAGAGTAAAAAAGTTCAGTTCCAAAACAATAATTTTCCCCCCCATACAGTTATGTAAAAAACACATCATCACTAGCATATAATAAATCACACTTACCTGAAGCATAGTGTGCTGTTGATTTATTGATTTGATTCTATTATTTAGTTCACCCTGAAAAACATTTTCAAAAAGCCAACAATTAACAATTAGTGAACCATTGAATAAAATGTCTATCACTTAAAACCATTTTCTTTTTTACAACTAACTTACCAGCCAAATTTTTAAACAGTTTTTATTAATATCACAGCCTTATGGCCTCACCAAGATCTCTTTGACATACTACATGGATGTATTTTTTTTATATACATGCTTGTCACCAAACATGTTTCTTGTTGTGACAAACCCAACAAGCTAAGTTGTCAAGTAAAATCAAACAAAAGTGATGACAGTTAAAATACTATACAGTGTTCTGATGTTTGCCTTTTGAGATGTTTATAATATTACTTCTGTAATCTATGCACTTATTTGTATACTTTTCTGTATATAACGAAATTGTAATCATGATAGGATATTAATATTAAGTATCAGATCTACACTTAATAAACAACAAATAAATCAGTACTCATTTATATAAGAATAGAAGGATACATTTCTTCAGTCACTCAAAACTATGAATAATACAACAATAAAATATTAAAGCCCATAAGGATTAGACCAAAGTTGGAATAGAACACCTCTTTTAATTGTTGTTTTTATTTTTTAAAGTAGTAAAAACAAAGTATCTATCATGTCCTTTCTTAAAAAAACAACAACAAATTTTGTTAAAATTTTGCTCTTGTGTATAGGCTAGCATAAAGTACTCTTACGATAACAGATACTACATTGTTGCATCTGTTGGTTAAGCAACCCAAGATAAACAAATCCACTTCACTTGTCAAGTTGTAACAAGTATTATAAATCAATATCTTCTAAGGCTAAAGTCAAACAGAGGGAAACAACTGGTCTGAGGGCCTAAGGGGTAAATCTATGACAACTTTGCTGCAATCAATTAATACCCCTCTCATGACAATATAATGGATTATTGATCTATAGGCAATCTGCTGGTTCATAAAGTTGTAATAGAATTGCTATTAAATGCATACGTAGGTTTGATACAAAGACTTTAATGTTTTCAAGCCAATTATTGAAATATAAGGGACACAGAAATAACATAAAATACTTAACTAATTATGAAAACATTTTAAATGCATAAATTCAATAAAATCTTATAGTTAGAACAAAACAAAAAGTGCTGACAAAAGAGGCAGACAACCATAAAACAAAACAGGGAAAGGAGGAAAAAAAAGTAAGAATATTTAAAATTGTTACCTTTTCATTTTTACAAGCTTCTTGAAATCTGTCTTTTGCTTTAATAAGATCTGTGAAAGTGATATTAAAACAATAGTTAAAACTAGTAGTACTTATTTACGTTTGGACCAACCAAATGCTTAGGTGGTTCAAGATATTTAACATATTGCTTAGTATTTCTTTGGACTTTGCCGGCAATGGTTGAGATAAGGATTATGATGCATGAGCAACCCATGAGCGATTTAACTAATGCCCTCTTGTACGCCCCACAGATTCCACTTATGAGCGTTCACCCGTTGTCTACTGAGGCAAAAATGGAGCCATATAAATAAGAATACTAGCATAGGGAACAGACTTAAACAAAGAGAGTTACAAAATAATTCTATAGGAAGATCATGCATAAATGCATGTGTTAGCTGCACAGCTTGTATCTTTGTTACACAGGACCATATTGTAACAGATGTTGTCTTTGTTAAGCAGCAGAAACTTACAACACATATTTGTCAATGGAGATATTTTAAAGCAGATGTTCTGTAATATAGGGAAGTGTACATTTTTCTGTGAATCTATGATGGGAAGAAAAATGTACTTGAAGCTTCCTTAAAGCACACCATTACAAACGTAAAAATAATAGTATGAACATTTAGTATTTCTTGAGCTGAACTAGATGGGATTACCATGCAATGCTAAACAAATGCCAGTAGGACATTACCCACTGGCCATTTTGAGATAGCTTTGGATAGGTTAATAAGTTTAGATATCTGTTTGGTAAAAAAAAACAGTAGGCAATTAAAACCAGTCCAATTACCTCAACCCTTGATCATTTGGAGATAGAAATGTGATAGGATTAGCTTAGGCTAGGGATAGGGTTACGTTTAGGGTTAAGGATAGGTACTAAGTAAGGATTAGTAATTACAGTTTGGAATAGGAGTGAGGAGGAGAGTGGGGAGGGGAAAATGTCCTAGACTCAGATAAGGTAGAGGTTAAAGATTATCACAAGGAACAGGGTTAGGATTAAGAATTAGGATATGATTAATTGTAAAAATAGTGTTAGGCATGTCTATTGATAGGAATAGAGTTAGAGAGCTGGATGTGGAGATATAGAGGGATAATATAAGTATTTAGAGTGATTGGGTGGGGGGGGGGGGGGGAGGGGTGGAGTGCCCAAGACCCTAACAAGAATAATGAATGTAAAGATAACAAGGCCATAATAACTAATACATGAATTTTTCTTATGTAAATAATTAAAATTTAAAATTTGCAATGCAAGTAAGGTATACAATAATGCATACATAACATGTTCAAGATGCTATTAAATTAGTGTTTATGAAGCAACTGTTCTGTTCGAAGTGTGTATGGAGATGTTTTTAGACGTCAGAAATTATGATAAATAAATGACCAATAATAGAAACCATAAAAGGTCAAACATGGCTTCTTCATTGTTTTTTATGGTTGTTGTCATTTGCCAATTGCCTACAAACAAATTTCTCAAATTAAAAACAACAAAAAATTTAGCAACAGAATGAGCTTGGCCTAGATCTGGTGTCTACTCAGGATAGGATGTAGAGTCTAGTTCTTAATATTTTTTAAATTAGAAAATTATTAAACTAATTATTTCATGAGAAATGATAGAAATATTTACTTATTTATTAAGCCTATTGTAATTTATTTCGTCTTGAAATTTATCTAATTTATTAAGAATCTGGCTTTAGTTGGATAAACAATATGCAGTATCAAGTAGATGTCGGAAAAATTGAGAATTAAATAGCCAAGTGGTAGATTGCGATATTTAGTGGTGAAATTTCCTATTAGTTGCTAGACTTAAAATTCTTTGTGAGAGTTTGTTTTTGTTGATATCCTTGTTAACTCTAAAAGATGTAAAAACTGCAAGAGTGTAAATACTTTTATTCAAATCAAACAAACCTGTTCATACTATATTCTATCCTTTTTTATTATTTTACCATCTAATATCTAAATTATAAAACTTCTTACATACTAGTATTACATTCATTACTCATACAAGTTGCTCTCACAGCCACACTCTCAGTTAACCCATACATATTCACCATTCCTCTACTTCTGTTTTCAACAACTACTTGAAATTGATCCTCACATGCAACAGTAGGTGGGCACTATAAATAGATGAATCACCCTGTATTAACTATTAACAGCAAACAACACTAAGAAAGTGTGTGCCTTTGGAAATTTGAAAATGATTTCAGCTGAAAACCTAACTAGACAAATTTTTCTTAAAAGTAAAACTGGCTGCAAATATTTAGTTCGGTCTATAGTATAGGCTATACTTATTAATCAATAATTTTTTTTTACAATCTGTATTCTGAAAATTTCTGAATATGTTTTGGGTAATCTATCGTTTAGGTAAGTAAAAACGGCAGAGGCTAGTAATGTGCGACAAAGATGCCTCATTCTTAATAGAAGTATATTGTAATATATTTGTCAAATATTATAGATAATTGATAATTGAATAATAAACCAAAATCAATGGCTAAATATATCAATACAGGTCAGAAAATAACTTTAAACAGCAGTGTTTACGAGCAATATTTGCTATATAAACAGCAGCCATTTGTAAAATTGAGTGGCTTCCCCTGAATCTCCCGCTATAAGGTTACAAAAAAAAAAAACCAACATAAAAGGGCTTTGTTGCATCTGATGAAAACATCGTTAGTCTTTATTTATTATTATTACTGAAAAGCTTTAATACAATTGTTTAAAAACAAGTACATGAATGAAACATTTTAGTAACTTTCAAAACATAAATTTTCTTTAAAATGTGAAATAATTACTAAAATGTAATGAAGCACATTCTTTTCACATTACTAGCTTGGCCGATTTTACGTCTTAAAGCAATAGATTACCATGTCTTGTTAAGATGGTATGAAATTAAAGCTGAAAAATGGTGTTTAGTTTAAAGTTTATGAAAATAATCACAAAAAGTCAGCATGTAACTTACAAGTTGCAATGAACTTTTATTTTAGATCTAGGTTTATAATTCATACTACTATGCTACCTATAAGCCATAAGGCCCTATTGTTAGGCCCTAATGCCAGGACTTTTACTATTACTATTAAATTATCAATTATGGCCTATAGTGGCACTAATATAGCCTAAACTACTAAGCTTTTCGTTAGTTGAAGCCTAGATCTATATTTAATAGGCTAATACTATTATTTATAGGCCTATAGTATAGCCTAATAATAGGCTATTTATTATTTTATTTATTAAGAGTAAACAAGCAGAAACCTAGAGTGCCCTAATAATATATTCTATACTAAGTCCTAGTTTACTCCTGGATTAGATAAGTAATCATAAGTTGTTTCTTCTTTGCAGACATTTTTACTCTGGAAAGATCCTAAAAGAAGGGAGGTGGGAAGGGGAGGGGGGTGGTGGTTGAGTGTTGACTAGATTAAAAAAGTAGTGTTGAGACAGGCACTTGTAAAATAGCATACAAGAGAATCTAGAATCTATATAATCTAAGTCTATTTGCTTTATGTTCTTATTTTTAAAAATAATTTCACTTGGCTGATAACTTACCTTGAATTTCTGTTAGTTTTTCTTCAGATTCCCGTTTAAAACGCATTCCGTTCATCTCTGCGTCTCGAAGACGGTTCTGCGAACCGTTGTACAGATACGTCATATATATTAGCAACATAATAAAAACCGCATATATAACATTTTTAATCGGAAATCCTCCCCGACCATGCATTGTGACAGATTTTAGTTCTTCCAGATTTGAAATGTTATCGATAAACTTGTAGAAAAAGTTGTGTACTCCACAAGGAAACGGCTACTGTAGTGACAAGTCGGCCATTAAAAACAACATGGCGACGTGTCGCGATGGTAAGCAAAGCTAATACTGAGTTTGTTTCGAAAGGAGGATTTCTTGTATTCAGAGAGTGGGGTGGGCTCCCCCCACCCCCTCCTTACTGGGTGATCATGTTAAACAACTTTAAAAATCGTGTTTAAAATTCTATTTTAGAGAATGTGATGAAGAGCATTTTGGACGTTTAGAAAAATATAAACGTTTGCATTTAGGTCCAGACCTACTTGTTGAATAATCATTATTAAGAATAGGACTTAAAGGAATAATAAAAACACCATTTAGGAGTAAGGGGCAGTTAAGCCTGTCTTAAGGTTTGGGATTATCTTGTACTAGGCATACTGCCTAGCTTCGCTTAGGTTTTAAAAAAAATTGAGCAATTGAATGATTAATTAATAGGTGATTGGCTGCTAAGGGCCTAAATTTATACAGTGGAGTAAAGTAATATCCGTAACATATTGATGGAATATTCGCAAACTTATTACTCGCACGGTAATTAGAACTGCAAGGGGTTTCTTAATAGTATCAATCAAATATTATAATAAATTACTTTCGCAATTAATTTTTACAATTTCAGTAAAATGCAAAACTTAATTTTTAACAAAATATTTATTTAAAACAATGCTATACTTTATGATTTTTGTTTTTTTCTTGAAAAGAGTATAAAAAATATTTAAAAATTATTACATTAAAAAGTTACCTCCCCTGTTCATAGACCAAATGACCAAATCTCGTATAATGAGAATTTCATTCACAGTAATTTTTAGCCCTCTTAGAGGGCTTTAAGACTGACCAACAGTTTTTCCATACGGCGTAGTCATCTATAGAGGTGTATACAAAAAATTAGCCAGATGTAAAGACGGTAAGTGCCCTCAAATCCGTTTTGAAATGACCCTCTGTTTTTCCATAAAATACAAAGATTATATAGGGAAATACGACTGGTCAGTTTTGACCCATTTAACGAATTTTCCCGGACATGGCGAGTTTTTTGTGACACCCCAAGGCGTTCTCCTACCACCTCACAAAATTTCAAGGGGGGTCGTCGGAGGAAATTTTTTTTCGTAATAGAGCTCATATAAAGAGAATTTCACTCGCGGTCACTTTTTAGCCCTCGTCGAGGGCTTTGAGTAAAACCGACAGTTTTCCCTAAAGATCAAGCCATTTACCTAAGAGCATGCAAAAAATTAGCTAGATGTAAAGACTGTAAGTGCCCTCAAATCCGTTTTGAAATGACCCTCTGTTTTTCCCATAAAATACAAAGATTATATAGGGAAATACGACTGGTCAGTTTTGACCCATTTAACGAATTTTCCCGGACATGGCGAGTTTTTTGTGACACCCCAAGGCGATCTCCTACCACCTCACAAAATTTCAAGGGGGGTCGTCGGAGGAAATTTTTTTTCGTAATAGAGCTCATATAAAGAGAATTTCACTCGCGGTCACTTTTTAGCCCTAGTCGAGGGCTTTGAGTGAAACCGACAGTTTTCCCTAAAGGTCAAGCCATTTACCTAAGAGCATGCAAAAAATTAGCCTGATGTAAAGAAGGTAAGTGCCCTCAAATCCGTTTTGAAATCACCCTCTGTTTTTCCCATAAAATACAAAGATTATATAGGGAAATACGACTGGTCAGTTTTGACCCATTTAACGAATTTTCCCGGACATGGCGAGTTTTTTGTGACACCCCGAGGCGTTCTCCTACCACCTCACAAAATTTCAAGGGGGTCGTCGGAGGAAATTTTTTTTCGTAATAGAGCTCATATAAAGAGAATTTCACTCGCGGTCACTTTTTAGCCCTCGTCAAGGGCTTTGAGTGAAACCGACAGTTTTCCCTAAAGGTCAAGCCATTTACCTAAGAGCATGCAAAAAAATAGCCAGATGTAAAGACGGTAAGTGCCATCAAATCCGTTTTGAAATCACCCTCTGTTTTTCCCATAAAATACAAAGATTATATAGGGAAATACGACTGGTCAGTTTTGACCCATTTAACGAATTTTCCCGGACATGGCGAGTTTTTTGTGACACCCCGAGGCGTTCTCCTACCACCTTACAAAATTTCAAGGGGGGTCGTCGGAGGAAATTTTTTTTCGTAATAGAGCTCATATAAAGAGAATTTCACTCGCGGTCACTTTTTAGCCCTCGTCGAGGGCTTTGAGTAAAACCGACAGTTTTCCCTAAAGATCAAGCCATTTACCTAAGAGCATGCAAAAAATTAGCTAGATGTAAAGACTGTAAGTGCCCTCAAATCCGTTTTGAAATGACCCTCTGTTTTTCCCATAAAATACAAAGATTATATAGGGAAATACGACTGGTCAGTTTTGACCCATTTAACGAATTTTCCCGGACATGGCGAGTTTTTTGTGACACCCCAAGGCGATCTCCTACCACCTCACAAAATTTCAAGGGGGGTCGTCGGAGGAAATTTTTTTTCGTAATAGAGCTCATATAAAGAGAATTTCACTCGCGGTCACTTTTTAGCCCTAGTCGAGGGCTTTGAGTGAAACCGACAGTTTTCCCTAAAGGTCAAGCCATTTACCTAAGAGCATGCAAAAAATTAGCCTGATGTAAAGAAGGTAAGTGCCCTCAAATCCGTTTTGAAATCACCCTCTGTTTTTCCCATAAAATACAAAGATTATATAGGGAAATACGACTGGTCAGTTTTGACCCATTTAACGAATTTTCCCGGACATGGCGAGTTTTTTGTGACACCCCGAGGCGTTCTCCTACCACCTCACAAAATTTCAAGGGGGTCGTCGGAGGAAATTTTTTTTCGTAATAGAGCTCATATAAAGAGAATTTCACTCGCGGTCACTTTTTAGCCCTCGTCAAGGGCTTTGAGTGAAACCGACAGTTTTCCCTAAAGGTCAAGCCATTTACCTAAGAGCATGCAAAAAAATAGCCAGATGTAAAGACGGTAAGTGCCATCAAATCCGTTTTGAAATCACCCTCTGTTTTTCCCATAAAATACAAAGATTATATAGGGAAATACGACTGGTCAGTTTTGACCCATTTAACGAATTTTCCCGGACATGGCGAGTTTTTTGTGACACCCCGAGGCGTTCTCCTACCACCTCACAAAATTTCAAGGGGGGTCGTCGGAGGAAATTTTTTTTCGTAATAGAGCTCATATAAAGAGAATTTCACTCGCGGTCACTTTTTAGCCCTCGTCGAGGGCTTTGAGTGAAACCGACAGTTTTCCCTAAAGGTCAAGCCATTTACCAAAGAGCATGCCAAAAATTAGCCAGATGTAAAGAGGGTAAGTGCCATCAAATCCGTTTTGAAATCACCCTCTGTTTTTCCCATAAAATACAAAGATTATATAGGGAAATACGATTGGTCAGTTTTGACCCATTTAACGAATTTTCCCGGACATGGCGAGTTTTTTGTGACACCCCGAGGCATTCTCCTACCACCTCACAAAATTTCAAGGGGGGTCGTCGGAGGAAATTTTTTTTCGTAATAGAGCTCATATAAAGAGAATTTCACTCGCGGTCATTTTTTAGCCCTCGTCGAGGGCTTTGAGTGAAACCGACAGTTTTCCCTAAAGGTCAAGCCATTTACCTAAGAGCATGCAAAAAATTAGCCAGATGTAAAGACGTTAAGTGCCATCAAATCCGTTTTGAAATCACCCTCTGTTTTTCCCATAAAATACAAAGGTTATATAGGGAAATACGACTGGTCAGTTTTGACCCATTTAACGAATTTTCCCGGACATGGCGAGTTTTTTGTGACACCCCGAGGCGTTCTCCTACCACCTCACAAAATTTCAAGGGGGGTCGTCGGAGGAAATTTTTTTTCGTAATAGAGCTCATATAAAGAGAATTTCACTCGCGGTCACTTTTTAGCCCTCGTCGAGGGCTTTGAGTGAAACTGACCGTTTTCCCTAAAGGTCAAGCCATTTACCTAAGAGCATGCAAAACATTAGCTAGATGTAAAGAAGGCAAGTGCCCTAAAATCCGTTTTGAAATCACTCTCTGTTTTTCCCATAAAATACAAAGATTATATAGGGAAATACGACTGGTCAGTTTTGACCCATTTAACGAATTTTCCCGGACATGGCGAGTTTTTTGTGACACCCCGAGGCGTTCTCCTACCACCTCACAAAATTTCAAGGGGGGTCGTCGGAGGAAATTTTTTTTCGTAATAGAACTCATATAAAGAGAATTTCACTCGCGGTCACTTTTTAGCCCTCGTCGAGGGCTTTGAGTGAAACCGACAGTTTTGCCTAAAGGTCAAGCCATTTACCTAAGAGCATGCAAAACATTAGCCAGATGTAAAGAAGGTAAGTGCCCTCAAATCCGTTTTGAAATCACCCTCTGTTTTTCCCATAAAATACAAAGATTATATAGGGAAATACGACTGGTCAGTTTTGACCCATTTAACGAATTTTCCCGGACATGGCGAGTTTTTTGTGACACCCCGAGGCGTTCTCCTACCACCTCACAAAATTTCAAGGGGGGTCGTCGGAGGAAATTTTTTTTCGTAATAGAACTCATATAAAGAGAATTTCACTCGCGGTCACTTTTTAGCCCTCGTCGAGGGCTTTGAGTGAAACTGACCGTTTTCCCTAAAGGTCAAGCCATTTACCTAAGAGCATGCAAAACATTAGCCAGATATAAAGACGGCAAGTACCCTAAAATCCGTTTTGAAATCACCCTCTGTTTTTCCCATAAAATACAAAGATTATATAGGGAAATACGACTGGTCAGTTTTTACCCATTTAACGAATTTTCCCGGACATGGCGAGTTTTTTGTGACACCCCGAGGCGTTCTCCTACCACCTCACAAAATTTCAAGGGGGGTCGTCGGAGGAAATTTTTTTTCGTAATAGAGCTCATATAAAGAGAATTTCACTCGCGGTCACTTTTTAGCCCTCGTCGAGGGCTTTGAGTGAAACTGACCGTTTTCCCTAAAGGTCAAGCCATTTACATAAGAGCATGCCAAAAATTAGCCAGATGTAAAGACGGTAAGTGCCCTCAAATCCGTTTTGAAATCACCCTCTGTTTTTCCCATAAAATACAAAGATTATATAGGGAAATACGACTGGTCAGTTTTGACCCATTTAACGAATTTTCCCGGACATGGCGAGTTTTTTGTGACACCCCGAGGCGTTCTCCTACCACCTCACAAAATTTCAAGGGGGGTCGTCGGAGGAAATTTTTTTTCGTAATAGAGCTCATATAAAGAGAATTTCACTCGCGGTCACTTTTTAGCCCTCGTCGAGGGCTTTGAGTGAAACTGACCGTTTTCCCTAAAGGTCAAGCCATTTACCTAAGAGCATGCAAAAAATTAGCCAGATGTAAAGACGGTAAGTGCCCTAAAATCCGTTTTGAAATCACTCTCTGTTTTTCCCATAAAATACAAAGATTATATAGGGAAATACGACTGGTCAGTTTTGACCCATTTAACGAATTTTCCCGGACATGGCGAGTTTTTTGTGACACCCCGAGGCGTTCTCCTACCACCTCACAAAATTTCAAGGGGGGTCGTCGGAGGAAATTTTTTTTCGTAATAGAGCTCATATAAAGAGAATTTCACTCGCGGTCACTTTTTAGCCCTCGTCGAGGGCTTTGAGTGAAACTGACCGTTTTCCCTAAAGGTCAAGCCATTTACCTAAGAGCATGCAAAAAATTAGCCAGATGTAAAGACGGTAAGTGCCCTAAAATCCGTTTTGAAATCACTCTCTGTTTTTCCCATAAAATACAAAGATTATATAGGGAAATACGACTGGTCAGTTTTGACCCATTTAACGAATTTTCCCGGACATGGCGAGTTTTTTGTGACACCCCGAGGCGTTCTCCTACCACCTCACAAAATTTCAAGGGGGGTCGTCGGAGGAAATTTTTTTTCGTAATATAGCCCATATAAGGCGCCGGTCAGTCGAGGTCAGTTTTGACCCCTTCCCCGTAGACTTTTCGGCCAACCGTCACCGGCCCTCGTGTTCTATCGCCCCAAGGCACCATCGTGCCAAATTTGACGCGCCTGCGGCGCCGGGAAGTGCCCTATCGGGCACCTGACCACTTTGCTTTATATATATAGATTTAACTGGCTGTAGAACTCCGAGCCTAATCTTGATAATTCAGGCTTTATCTCATTGCAAAATATTCATTTAATTAATAGTAATTAATAATTTAAAATAATATAGACCTAGACCTGTAAGACTAAATATGACATTAGTTGCACCTACTCTTAAAAACTTCAACACTTTAAACTGCAATAACAAACTACATTCTTCCAACTTCACGATACAATTACATACGATGCTCATTAACTCAAACGAACGTACCCTATATTTGTACAATAAACAGTAGCGTAGTTAGGGGGCGGGGGGGGGGGGGACACATATGTCCCCGGGCGCCGACCTTAGGGGGCGCCAAAATGGGTTGGAAAAATAAATTGCAAGGTTGAGGGGGGGGGGGTGCAAATCGATATCTCGAGGGGGGGGGGTGCAAATCGAAAGTTTGAGGGGGGTGCAAATCGAAATCTTGAGGGGGGGGGGTGCAAATCGAAAAGTTTGTCACCGGGATGGGTCGCTAAGCCTCTGACAATAAATACAATCCATCGACATGTCTAGGTCATATATAACCAAGGGACTCTTCATTCCCTAGTGACAGTCGAGTCTTTTTGAGTAAGTTTACCTTTTGCATAATTTTTGTGCATATAATTTATCATTTTCAGCCAAGCAATTCCACTTTATTTTACCAAAACCCAATACTGTAGTGAATTTGTTAGAAATTAGTCAATTGTGCTTAGTAGGGCAAGAAGAAAAAGTCATATCTTAATAAATAGTTGTTATTATAGCATGAAAATTGGAAGAACTATTAGGCCAAGCTTGATCTTTAATTAGAATATCTTAGTGTTAGTTAGGAGCAAGCCGATATTATGGAAATCTACTTTAATTAGGTGTATTTGATGATATTTTTACAATATTTGCATGTTTGAAGTATTATTGTTGAAGAACAACTTATTGATGTTTATTGTAATTTGTATCATTGTAAAGGGAATTGTCTGTGGTTTCAGAGGATAAGCTTATTAGAATTTTAGGAGATCGCGATAAGTTTTTATATAGGGTTAATTGGGGTCGGTTAGCACGAAAGCGGGGGAAATTTTCACAGGTAAGCGTTAGAATTCGTGCCAAGAGCAAGGTGTCATCCGAGACGCTCGCGGGTGGGGTATATAAGCCAGGGGTTAGCCTTAGAGGGGATGGAGAAACGACGGCCCTAGCCAGTAATTTATGCAGCACACGTATTGGCGCTATAGTCTTGTTAGATGCGCGCTACACAGACAATTCCCGCTCAAGAAAGATAGTCAAATAAAGATTTACAGAAGACGGCTTATTCTTCATTCTTGATCGTCTGTAACTGTGACTGAGAGTGAGAAATAGAAGAGAAGAAGAACGTTACATTTGATAGAAGCAAGAATATTACAATAGAACAGCATATTTTGAGAGCAGTAAAAACGTTACATTTGGTGGCAGCGAAAAGAAACGATCTTTAACACGCAACCAGAGAGACTGAAAGCAGGCCAGTTAGTACAGAGGAGAAAAATGGCAGATATTGAACTACAGGCTCAAATAAGAAACCTGCAAGAAACGATTAAAGAACTCAGAATCGCTAGACAAGATGAGCGACCATTAAGTATGAACCAGGCGTTACCACAATACGACGGGTCAGCACCATTTCAAGTGTTTTGGAACAAATTTCAAGCAATATCTCGCATTAACAGCTGGGATGAAGATAGACAGCTACTGCATCTACCAGCTTGTTTGGAGGGGAGTGCGGCCAACTTTGCATTTCTTGAACTCACTCAAGTTGACCGAGCAACGCTTGAAACGTTTGTCGCAGCACTGAGCGCTAGATTTGACACCAGGGTGGGCACCGCTACACATCTGACCCAGTTAGAAAATAGAAAGATGTCAGCAAGGGAGACAACCGCTGAATATACGTCCGATGTGAAACGACTGACGGCCATGGCTTTCCCGTCAGCTGACCAAGCAACTAAAGCAACAGTTGCACTGCGCTATTTTCTCAAGGGGCTACAAGATCCTCACCTCGCGGGTATCATTGCCGCCCAGCGCCCAGTTAGCACAGATGAGGCCAGAAACATTCTGGACGAATACCTCAGTGCTAGAGACAGCACAACAAAAACAAAAATGTGTTCGGTGCAGGAGCAGAGCCAGATAGATAGCCTACAGCAGGAGGTGAAAAGACTACAAGAGATGGTAATAAGTAATCAACGTAGGCCCAGCGACTCGGGATGCTACACTTGTGGGGGCAGACATTTGGCTAGGAATTGCCCAAGAAATAGTAGATTTCAAGAAATAAACCAACGTCGGTCAACTAATAGAAACAATTATCAAGCCCGGCCGACCCAAGCTACAGCCAGAATAAATGAAATCCGACAGAATGATACAGATAACAATGATGAAAATCTTTTAGGCCTTAACTTTCTGAAAGTAAAAGCCGCGGCAAGCAACAAGCAAGTGGACGTGCCAACAGAGATTTCAATCCGTAGTGTTGCCCCCGGGTGTTCAGTAGTGGTGACTGTAACGGTAGCAAGACACAATATGATGTTTCTGGTAGACACGGGCGCTGCTGTCACTGTCATGTCCACAAGAGCCTTCAACAAGTTACCACAAGCCAGTAGAAACAAACTTCAACCCATGGACAAGAAGGTCACAATGCAATCTGCAGGGGGTGACAAAATAAACTGTCTAGGCACATGTACAGTAGATATGAGAGCTGGCAATGTTGTCACAAGGTGGACAACAGTCATAGCTGACATTGAGGAAGATGGTTTCTTGGGGATGGACTTCCTAATGAAACATGAGTTTCAATTTTCGGCTAAAAAGGGCTTATACCTCAATGGTAGAAGAGTCCCAACACAGACCAGAGGCAGAGAAAAGATGTTCAAAGTAGAAGACCAAAAATGGCGGTCCAACTTCTACAACTTTAATGACGCAGTTCCAAGAAGCACACAAAATACACATAGAGTGGCACCAGTTGCCGCAATATTGAAAGCTTCTATTACAGACCAGAAACATGATCGATTCTATCTGCGGAAGAGTCTACAGTTCTCCCAGCAGGAAATTCAGAAGGCTCAAAAGGATGATAATATTTTGAAGAAGTGTATTACCTGGGTGCAGAACGAACAGAGACCTGAACAGAGGGAGTTAACCGCAGAAGGCCGGGAACTCCGCTATTACTGGCTGAATTTTAACAGACTGACACTTGCAGATGGCATATTATGCTGGAAGTGGGTGACAAAAGAACGGAAGACAGAACTAAAGGTGATAGTGCCACATCTCCTAATGTCTAAGGTTCTAGACAAGTGTCACAATAACAAGGGCGCCAGACATGTTGACATTCAAAACACATTAGCCAAGGTACAAGAATATTATTTTTGGTTTAGAATGAAACATGAGGTCACCAACTGGGTGAACTGTTGCGAGAGATGTCAAGTTAGGCAACAACCTGTCGAGAAGACAGGATGCCTACACGAGAGGAACAAAAGAGACTACGACCTCAACATTGTCTCCAATGACTACAATGTTGGAGATGTAGTGTTGTGTCTGGAGGAGGCGAGGAAAGTAGGCGTGAGTAGGAAGCTTGCTCCCAGACACTGGAAAGGTCCATACGTCATCATAAGGAAACTGAGTGACCTTCTCTTTGAGATAGAGAACAAGGACAAAAAGACAAAAGTCGTGCACCACGACAAACTAAAACCATTTCACCAAAGGGAACCAACGAAATGGATCGTTGACTTACAACTCAAACTTCATCACGATGGTGGTTCACCTCAACTGTCGGAATACTCAACGGACGATGAGACAGGCGACAAAGGTCAAGACACAGAGAGTCAGCTGTCGGAGAGAGGAAATGATCACGGGGCTGATGAAACAAGCCCAAAACTAACTGTTACTACACACAACGACGCAAGGGAAAATACAAGACCCCGACGAGAAATCAAACGATTGTTCTGGATTATTAGGATACCGTGTAAATTCTTAAAATAGTGTTCTAAATTACTTAAATATCGTGTGAATTCTTAAATAATGATCTGGATTATTAAGATACCTTGTGAATTTTTGAAATCGGGTGTTTTTCATTACATTCCTGGATGTGAATGTATTATAACGAATTGTAAGTAGATACAGTTTAGCTTTGTGCTAGGACCAATATAGAAGCTTTAGAACCATTACAATTATACTCATGGTTTGGTCTGTGAACATACCACAGGAACATTGAAACTATAAGATGTACATATCTAACCAGAAGGAACGTAGACATTACAAATGCAAAACAAGACTGTATAATAACTTCATGTTAATCGATATTACAATGGAGCCAGTTTCTGATTGTTTTTTGTTTAAATTGAACATGATGTTGCATTTTGATAATTATAATTGATGTTGATGATGTATCATATTTATGAAGATGTGATTTAAGATGTTGAATATACAAAGCCTTTAATAAACTAAATCAATTTTGAGGACAAAATTCTTAACTTTGGTAGGGTCAAATGTAGTGAATTTGTTAGAAATTAGTCAATTGTGCTTAGTAGGGCAAGAAGAAAAAGTCATATCTTAATAAATAGTTGTTATTATAGCATGAAAATTGGAAGAACTATTAGGCCAAGCTTGATCTTTAATTAGAATATCTTAGTGTTAGTTAGGAGCAAGCCGATATTATGGAAATCTACTTTAATTAGGTGTATTTGATGATATTTTTACAATATTTGCATGTTTGAAGTATTATTGTTGAAGAACAACTTATTGATGTTTATTGTAATTTGTATCATTGTAAAGGGAATTGTCTGTGGTTTCAGAGGATAAGCTTATTAGAATTTTAGGAGATCGCGATAAGTTTTTATATAGGGTTAATTGGGGTCGGTTAGCACGAAAGCGGGGGAAATTTTCACAGGTAAGCGTTAGAATTCGTGCCAAGAGCAAGGTGTCATCCGAGACGCTCGCGGGTGGGGTATATAAGCCAGGGGTTAGCCTTAGAGGGGATGGAGAAACGACGGCCCTAGCCAGTAATTTATGCAGCACACGTATTGGCGCTATAGTCTTGTTAGATGCGCGCTACACAGACAATTCCCGCTCAAGAAAGATAGTCAAATAAAGATTTACAGAAGACGGCTTATTCTTCATTCTTGATCGTCTGTAACTGTGACTGAGAGTGAGAAATAGAAGAGAAGAAGAACGTTACATTTGATAGAAGCAAGAATATTACAATAGAACAGCATATTTTGAGAGCAGTAAAAACGTTACAATACTTACAAGGTATATAACTCGTCAATATGAAACATTAACTTTAATATTTGAGTTACTGCCCTTTTTACAGAAAAATGAGACCGCATTATTCTTTAATTGAAGATTGGATCTTGTCGGGTAATTTCCGCAAAATCTTTACCCCCCCTCCACCCCCAATCCTAAAAAAATGTTTTATACAAAGAAGCTATGAATATCATGCATCTTTTACGCCTCGATTTTATTGAAGTGGGTGAGATTCGGAGATGTAATTAATAATTTTCAAGAAAAGGTCTGTTTTGGTACCTTTAATCCCAACCTCAACCCTTATCCTACCACCAACCCTTACCCTACCACCAGAGGCGTAGCGAGGGGGTGGGGGGGATGCGGACCGCACCGGGAGACACCATTTAAGGGGGTGACACCAAATCAAAAAAAAGGAAAATATATAGAGAAAACTTGAGGGTGGAGTGCAAATCGAAAATTTGAAAGTTTGTCCCCGGGAAAGGTCGCTACGCCTCTGGGTGACACCATTAAGTGCCGCACCGGGTGACACCCGACCTCGCTACGCCACTGCCTACCACTAACCCTAACCCTCAAGGCGGATACAGAGTTGTTTTGCGTCTAGACATCAGAAGTAGGTCTCAGTGGTGGGGTCTAACTTTTCGCCCATGCACTTTTCGCATTAGTGGCGGGGCTTGTCTGGACTAGACCCGAAGGTTTCAAATAAGGATTCTAGTTTTACTGGATAAAGTTTCATATAAGGATCGTATTTTTAGTTTTATTAATTACTGGGTGAAACATGGATATAGCTGATAACCTTGAACTTTTGTACATTAAAATATAGAATACCCATTTAAAAATATGCAGCAGATATTCCTTCAAATGTTGATACCTAGAAGTTTGTTTTCTATATAAGAAAACTTTATAGTGATTTTAAACACAACAGCCCAAACAGGAAGAACACTACTTTAGTTGTAAAAACATGTTGTCAATAGTGTCGAGCCTACAGTTTTAAAAAACTATTTTCAGTGACACAAATCTACAGCAGTTTTATCATTCTAACGCTAATAAAATTCTTCAACTAATTAAGTTAGACTGACAGTAAAATAAAATTTAGTTTTTTTTTGCTTTGAAGGTCTTCTACACTCAAATTACTACGGAGAATCCTATACATCAGTATCGGAATAACAAAACGTATTTTATTGAAATTTTAGATCGGTTCACACAATATTAAGATTTCGCTTCTTACACCGTCCTTAGCAGTGCCGCCGGGCATGATGGCAAAAAAAAAAAAAAAAAAAAAAAAAAAAAAAAAAAGAGGAAGCAAGTTAAATAAAAGCTTAAAAAAAATAAAATGAAGGTATACATATTTTTTATTGTGATTTTAATGTTGGATGCTTAATTTTTCTAAAATGTTGACCAGCGATATTTTAAAGAGAAGCAGGTAGAAAATGCGTTCTTTAAAAAAAATCTACCTCCAATTTCTCAACGAAGCTGCCGGAAACCTACTTCAAGATTTTTATCTCCCCCCATTCCTCCCGGCCTACCTCTCACAAGATTTACGCTTCATCTTCGTTTTCTGTGTGCTAACTCAAGGGTGCCATCTTTTCAGCTTTCCACATCAATCCTGCTTTACCATAGCTCTTTAAAAAAATATCTCCCGAACCATCTACAAAATCTTTTCTTTCGCGAATAGCTTCACGGAGAAACGCGCTTTTATGCTTATCTGTTTTTCTTTCTTTCCTCCCATAATTTCTTTCTTTTCCAATATTGGGTTAACAGTTTCATAATCTGTCCACACGTCAGGCAACGGAATCGCAAGTCCCTGAGGATTTCGCCTCGGACTCTTATCGGCCTAATCCTACCCGCCTAAAGGGTCCTGTTACAGTAGCAATTCCTTGACATAGATTGGTCCCGCTCTCACATTACCCCTAACTCTAACTCATCTGCCATTATGGCATAACCATTGTCTTTACATCACAGGGCATAGCTCCCCATGGGCGGCATATCGCCCGACCTAACAACAGCTTTTACGAACCGTGGTGAACAGAGCGTTAGTTTGTTTAGACACTACGTAATCTCGCGAGCTTTTTTTATTTATTTTTAGACCAGAACTCTTCAGTTAGTAGATTACATTTTTTTGTAACTATGAAGAGAAAATTGCAAACTGACAGACTCGAAGTTAATTTAAAAAAAATAAATTAATCGGCTAAATTCCCTCTCATTTACTTTAAGATTTATCGCCATACCATTTACAGATCATATTCAGTTAATTAAGCATTATATTAACTATGACAAATTTACGGGAAAGGCCTATTTTAGAATTTCAGATGTTTTTTTTTTTAACAAAAGTTTACAAAAGGATAGTCATTTAAAATACATTTTTTCGACATAAGTACAATGAACATTAATAACACAACAGTATTTTCTTAGAATAGTTTGTAATAATCAATTGCGCTATGATTTATTAAACTAACGGTTTCCAAAAAAAAAAAAAAAAAAAAAAATTATTCAAACCGGAGAATGCTCAAAAAATATTTTTGTTTTAATCTGCGGATTTTCATTTTCATCGACTGATTCATAAGCAACTTCCTATGTGTTTGGATGGACTCAAGATAAAATAACTAAAAGTCTAAAAGCAAAGGTAGTATTGGGAAAATTTTGTGTGGAAAAAAGGGGGAATAAACGCGTACTTGGGGTAAATAATAAATGTATGAGGGAAAAAACAGAATTTTAAAAAGATACGTAACCAAACTCAAGAAATAAAACAAAACAAAAAGAAATTACAACTACATCAAACATGTTTCGACGTTTATTCTTGATCAATTAAAAAAAATATAAAAAGTTAAAAAATAAAAACCAAACAAAATACTTCTACAACAAGAATGTCAGTAAGTAAATAATAACAAAATCTACCAGTTAACAGACTTCCCACCCCACCCCACCTCCCAACACAACACGCCACCCTTCGCCTCTGCCACCCTCTCCCCTGTCTAACCGTCTCACCATGACATGACGACTGACAGCCCCCCCCCCCCCCACTCCCCCACCCCCCCAGCGGAGATTGCTCGCGCCTAGACGGAATCCCCAAAAGCTCAGCTTGTAGAATCACAGTCAATTTGCCGAGGGGTGCCGTTATCACGAGTATCTGGACTTATCTCGTCTACACTAATCACGTGGATTTCCTAAACAGGCTCGCCTATAATGAATTCTGACGTCTTAAGTACTCGCACACAACTTGGGTTGAAGACATCTTGTAATTGCTTGCCGCTACCATTCGATATTTACACGGACCAGGAAGGCCTATATTTACAATGTACTGATATATATATATATATGTATATATATATATATATATATATATATATATATATATATATATATATATATATATATATATATATATATATATATATATATATACATATAATTTTATATATAAACAATATAAAACTAAATAGGACAATTACGTGTTAATACTAGTGTCTTAAGTTACTTTAGGAGCTCTCCATAAAACACTTGACTTTCCGAGGAGAGAAAGGGATCGGATTTTTGCAACAAGGTGGGAGGGAAGAGGGAGGGGTTGGTTAAAATGTGTGATGTCAAAAAATCGACTAGACTAAAGAGCTTGACGTAATTTTCGGACGACCCGTAGCCCATTTATATCTGACTGGTGTGTTTCATGGGTCCGTGACTTTTTCATGACGACATTATGCGCCCAGCTCAGTTGAGTACGCGACCAGTTGAAAAGCATGGCACAA